CTATAGAAATGCTTATTGTATGACATGTATGAGTACCTTCTTTGGGTTTGTAGTCGAGGCCCAGCAAGCACATAGCAGCCTATCGTGGGAATGTTATTATTATTCTCACTGCTTGTGGTAGCAAACAATGGACTTATTATACTTTCCATGGAAAAGGGTTATCCATCAGCTGGGAAACCGTCCGTTTCTAAAGTTATGAGGTACTGCAAATGTTTGCTTTCTGATTCAACATACTAGTATTATGTTTTGTGCACATATACTCATGGAAGCGAATAAGGGAACACATGAAAGTACAAGTGCTCCTTTATTTATTTCCATAATTTCACTCACAGTACAATATATACTTTGTGAAGAAACCTGGAGAGTGAGTGAGTGAGTTTCTATGAGTATATAGGTTCATGTTCTCCCAGCCTTTTAGTCTCACCAAATGCCAGTTCCCTGCATCATAACGAATTCCCATGTTCACATTGTTTTTGGAGTGATTGTCTTACTTTAAGTCTATACTGTCCAAATTTTAGAAGCTTTTTAAAAGAAAAATTGTTGAATTTTCTTACCCCAAACGCTTGAGCCATATTAAAATCGTATAATGCATTCATCGATTTCAGGTAACGAATCAACTAGGATTTCGAGGTCCCCACTGGTTTTATGTAAAATAGAAAATATCGTTCTTGTTGCTTGTTCTGTTAAATAGAGAATGGGGATGGGCTTTAGTAAAATGTATACTCAGAGGAAGAAAACAACGTACTAAAAACTGTGCGACTACAACCAGGTTGTGAGACGTACATACACAGAGTATAGGGAAGAGTCATAAGACAAAAGACATTGACAAAAAGTCATAGATTTGGGTACAGAATTCATAAACTCAAAAAAGTCAGTATTGATAATGCATTTATTCAACAAGTCATAACAATGTTATCATCAATAGCACTACAGGAATCTCTCTGAACCACATTTGAACTAAATAACTAATATTATGTTCATTTCTCTTTGATAAGATCCAGTTACTTACAACACCACACTGAAAGGAATAATTGCCTTTAACGTGAAATAGTTTTATAAATAACTGAAGAACAGATCGTTTTATGAGAGTTGTAGTTGAATTAGTGTTTGTAAATAACACGATGTTATATAATAGTTATATTTCCGATGGCTTCTTTTTCCCATGACGTTTTTTCCTATGACTTTTTCCATGAGTAATTTCTTATGACTTTTTTCCCGATCACCTATATATACAGTATATTTCACTATACATATATCATCACTTGGTTGTAGTCAACTTTAGCTTGAAAACGGTTTATATTTTTTAATTATTGACTCACCAACTCTCCAGAATGTTGGGCTTCACGCACTGTACCCATGTGGGGAATCGAACCCGGGTCTTCCAACGCTTTAACCACTAGGTTACTCCACCGCCCCCTTCAGAAGAACAAACGAAAAGATGCATGTGGAAGATGACACATCTTCATGAGACTCGTCATGTTTATATACTCATGTTACAGTCACAACTGTACAATCCACAGATTTTTTATGGATGTGGAAAGGGTTTTGTTCCTTCCTTTTTTCTCCAAGAACATCTTATTTCATATACACTTTTATCAGTTAGTATTCGATGTTTGTGGAGAGAGCGTATGTTTAAAAACAAATATTTCACTTTGCCGTGCATGTGCAAGGAAAGGTACATTGAAAGGCCAAAGAGAATTATTACACTATAAATTAATTAAACGTTAAAATGGGTTAATCATGTGTCATAACTGTAGTCGCAACTCTATATATGAGTGAGTGAGTGAAGATTTACAGTCACATCGCTATATATTTCTGAGAAACATGAGTTCAGAACAAATGAGGTTGGCTTAATATATTAATTAGTTGAATTAACTTGAATGCAGTAAATTATTTGAATTAAGTTCAAATGAGTAGAGTTATGTGCCATGATAGTTGTAGACACACCTCACTTGAGTGGAAAAAATCTTGCCCATTTTGTGTTCTCCAAACAACGTTTTTTCTTTAATACATGCCCATGAAGAAAGCATGTTAAATTTTGCAATTACCTTCGACCGAGAGAGGTCACAGAATGAAGAGTGAAGAGTTTCTGAAAAGATGGCTTTCCAGAATCATAATCAGACTTGTTACACACCACTTTTCACACCCCATAAAAGCTCCACGCTCTAATTCAATTATAAGTGTTCTATTCATACCACATGTGCATGGCTTTATGACTAGACGCGGACAATGAATAGTAAAGTAACCTATATACCTGAAGAGTCAACTGAAAGATGTCATAGGAAACAGCTTGTATTGATAAGTAGGTTGCATAAAGATCGGCAAAGATCGCGACTACTTGGGCGCTTTGACGCTGCTCATATCATACCCTAAGTACTGGCGTTCATTTACTGCACACAGTCATGTATGTACATGTCTTGACTTCATCCACGACTTCTTCCCAACTCTAACATAAGGAAAAGAGGAATGTTTTCATGTTATGGAGTGTGTACTATCGATGAAGATGTGCTGATATATCATTGTGTACGTCCACGTCGCTAACTGACATACATTTTGGTAAGCTCAATATTTTATATACATTGAAAACGCTGCCTTAGGCAATATTTACGTGTGTGTGTGAGAGAGAGAGAGTGAGTGAGTGAGTGAGTTTAGTTTTACGCCGCATTTAGCAATATTCCAGCAATATCACTGCGGGGGACACCAGATATGGGCTTAATAAATAGTACCCATGCGGGAATTGAACCCGGGTCTTCGGCGTGACGAGCGAACGCTTTAACCACTGGGCTACCCCACCGCCCTTTGTGTGTGTGTGAGAGAGAGAGAGGGGGGGGGAGAGATAAATAAAGACAGACAGATATTTTATTTAAGTCTCACCTCGTAAAGTTAGAACATACATACAGTACAGTAAAATAAATTAACGAGCCGCCCATTAGTGTTAGGAGAGACTGTCAATAGCTATTACATATACGTACAGAATTTTAAGAGGTATACGCCTTTTTACAAATATGTATGTAAATAATATAAATACATGATAAAGGTTAAGCATTATGATATAAAATATTCATACGATTTTCCAATAAAAAGAGTTCTTCAACAATGGACATAATATAAGAAAACTTATCACCATCACATAAAGCTTGAGAATTATCACAGACATCAGCACATCTAGTTAAAGACCAACAGTAATTTCCTCAACACATTCATGACAGTTAAAACAAACACGTTCACTCAAGGGTAGGTTGTAGCGTTAGGACAGAGAGGGGTAGAGAGAGAGGAGGGGGAGTGGGGGAGAGGAGTGGAACTGTCTCCTAATTGTTAACAAAAAATAAGATGTCCAAGGATGAAGGGTATTGTTTCACACGGGGACACATGTTTCCCTAAGGCAAAACCTTTCCTTTGTGTAGCTATGTGTCTGTGCCACAATATTGAACTACGCTCGAGGCTAGGCCAATTAACTGTTCTCGCAAGTAGAATTTGCAGTAAGTAATTGTAAAAACATTTATTTGATCTTCAAACGAGATTTTATTACATATATGCCGTCAGTTAATAGTTGGTCTTTTGAGACTGGAACAGTGAGACATTGAGAGTAGGTGGGGGTATAACGACTACCAAATAATAATTCGCGTCAAGCAATTAAAAAAAGCAATACCAATTCAGTTAATATTTCTTCTATTGAGACTGGGACAATGGGACATTGAGAGATTTGTAGACAAAGCCAAAGTTGCACACGACACTGATCAAAGCGTTTGAACAAAGACTAAATACGAGCTCCAGACCGTGGGTTAAGTATTTCGTCCTTACTCTATATACAAGCCGTGAGTTCATGTAAGAAGATACAGGACAAATAACATCTTCTTACGTGTACGTAATGGAAAAACACTTCATTGCATTTGTGTGCATCTCATGTGTTCTGTTTACTTTGAAACAGTCTCCGTGCTGGGAGCATCAAGGTGGAGCCCATTCATGTGCAGGTAATGCATTAAATCGACAGAAGAGAAACCACAAGTCATGTATTTGTTGAGATTTTTTATGCAATTGCAGTTGTCGTTCGCGGGAGGTAATCTGATAGCCAATAATGTCGATAGTGTTCTTACTCACCCACACACACAAACGCGCACGCACGTACGACATGTCCATACACACTGGTACAAATGTACTCAGAATATTGTGAAGGATTTCTGACATTGTTTCAGTTTTTCACGTACGTTTTACACCCCAAGCCGCACTCTCACTCACTCACTCACTCACGAAATCAAAATTATACAAACAATTTTATGTAAAATATTTAGTTGTTCGCTAAAGTTTGATACTTAAGCCGTCTTACGTTTACACGTTTTGTTCATAAGGGAATATTATAATGAGTATCGTGGTAAATATTTACCTGAATACTGTCGTGATTACCCTCATGTCCAAATGTTTATTGAATTGACGAGAACAAGCGATAAGAATAGACTATTAAGACTTTGTAGCTTTCTTAAAAAAGTGTTTGTACTTCGATCGAAACAAAAATCTCTGAACACATAATCGTATCAATTGTAATAAGGTCTACATTCTCAGTGTGGCGCATATGTATGTCTTTACCTTACTGTTTTACACATGTTGTACTGTTGGCCCCATGGCCATATATACGTAATAAAGGAGGATGATGATGATGAATTTTGCCAAGATGCCATTCAAACATAGCTTTTCAACCTTGTCTATTCGAGTGTACGAGCATGTGTACAACGATGAATGAACAAGCGTGTCCACACTACCGGGCAGGCCTTCGCATGTTCAAACCACGTTATTTAGACATGTGCCCATAGTACACTGTTGCAAGTCAACCCCGATTAATAAAAGACCTGCAGTTTAAATTTCGTTTCTGTTTCTTACACAGCATTATCTACAGAAACATCTACTACAATGCTCTTTGTCCCGGCAGTGCTTTATACATATCGATATAAATAGCATCACCGTCTTGTTGAACGGGTTTGCGTTTTGTAATCTCTACCCCATGCGCATAGTAAGGGTACGACACGATCTATTGAAACACGCCTGACCTTGACCTGATTAGCTCTTTCATAGGGTCACCCCTACAGGGAGTTAGACATGTGGGACAGTAGGAACGTTGGAAGGTGTCATACACAACCCAGACTTAACTAATCTAACGTGTCTACATTGAACATGGTTCGAGCTGGAGGTAAGTCTTTACTTTGTGATAGCCTTTCATTTTGATTTTTTTCAAGTTGTCTGAGATAATCCGACCTATACGTTAATCATTTATAGTTATCTTACTGATGATAAATTTACTGTAAGGATGGTCTATTCTGTATGAAACAAATGCTTTATTGTTTGAGTATCATTCATTCTCTGATCAAAGAAAATAGGCGTGGCACCTGACATAAATTGGGGGACAAACTGCTTAAATAAACCCGGGTATACTTACTGTTTGCCAGTATGTTGAGAGAAAAGGTTTAAGGACAGGGTTTTAGAAGCGGTTTCGATCAATATTGACTTTACCCAAATTACGTGACCAAACATGAATATACGAAAGTATTAAATAACATAATGGAAAGTTTAAGTAATGCTTACTATATTTTCGACATCAATTATCCGTTTATTTTTTAAAAAGTAAATTTTTTAATTCTCGGAAAAAACACGTTTGTTTTGATTACAAAGTAACATACTGATATTGAGACAGACAAACCCAAATCGATTATCTAAAGACATGGCATAAAGTTATTAATACCTACTCTTTTAGGCATATTTTTGCATAGGGCAGGACATGCCTACTCTTGTCATGAACACCCGGTGTCGTCACTGATTTTCAGTGATTCATTCATATACTTTTCACAGCTGTTTTTCCCATGAAATCAAAACAAATGTTTCAGAGGACAGTCAGAAACGACTACGACCCTATATTTTCCAAGTTATGAAATAGGCAGTAAATTTAAAAACACCTTAATTTGACCTCACACCAATTAAAAGCTGAAACGTTTGAGGGTTTTTTTTCATTGGTCTATAGAAGTTTTCAAGAGAAAGCATTATCACAGATTTCCACACTTTTTGTTTCACATACCAGTGGCTTCAATCGTAAAATGTACTCAGGCGAAAGTACAACATACAAAAAGGCTTGCCGAAATACCATATATAACATTATGATAATGCTTATTGCCTGAAGGAATATGTTTTGTAGAATGATCGACACATGTTATTGTCCCGCTGACCGCCGCCATATAGCTGGAATATTGCTGACTGCGGCGTAAAACTAAACTCACTCAATCACGATTATCCTGCTTATATATCTATTATTAATACCATTAACCAGACATACCCAAGAAACACTCTTCACCGGCGTAAGTCTTGTACCTCATCCCTATGTGTCGGACATCATATATAACCTTTTGAAGTTAAGTGGGGCTGAAACACTTTAGTCGATTCAGTGCGTCTTGAAAGCAGTTAATCAGTGTCTATTATTCATCGTATTTGTGAGCAAACCCCAGTCCCATTTGTACTAAAAACCCGCCCAAGTCTGTGAATGTCCCTCCTTTAACCCATTCAAAATATGAATGAATAGCTGTTCAGTGCTCGCAGGTTCTGCTCAGGTCAAACGCATAGCATACATTGTATCGGCACACAAACGGCACAGGTATGTTAATGCGAAGTCTTGGTGTCAAACGTTAGACGTTCATATTTATTTCTCGGTTAGATGTATAAGTGCAGTCTTCTGATTTGAAAAAAATATATGCATATCTTTTGTTGTGTGTGCGTGCGTGCGCGTGTATATGTGTGTGTTTAATTTTTTAGATAATTTTATTACTCAAGTTTTTCTGGACATTTAATTTAGACGAATAGATGAGGATAGATGATGATTTTACACTTTAGATACTGAATAACGCCACTCTTTATGAGTGAAAAATACCTACAAAAAAACAACAACCCACAACTGAAATAGTATGCGCGTGAGAATTAGTATGGGTGGATGTTCGAGGGCTGACAGAGCATGTCTTCCCATTGTGGTTATTTCCCACTCTGATGTGTCAATGCACAGGCGACATGGTCTAGTGACTGTTAATTACTAGGGGCGGTGGGGTAGCCTAGTGGTTAAGGCGTTAGCTCCTCACGCCGAAGGCCCGGCTTTGATCCCCACTAACATGGGTACACTTTGTGAAGCCCATTTCTGGTGTCCCCCGCCGTGATATTGCTGGAATATTGCTAAAAACGGCGTAAAACCATGCACATTCAGTCAGTTAATTACTGCAGACCACACCTTTATGTGGTTTAAGATGACGTTGGACTCGGACATGGTGTAGTCAAAAGGAAAGACGAGATAGGTACTTTGTAGTAATTTGATGTATTCATTTATGGATTAATTCATCTGTTTCAAGGTACTAGTGTCATTCCATGTCTAATAGCAAATGTTAGAGAGCAAAGGCGCTGTAGGCTGAACACTGTACTTGAAAACATTGAAAGTAACTCACGGCTTATGTTTGAATGTCGAACAGCGCATAGTGAAGTGCTCTATTTGTATAATGTCAGTTTTACAGACATTTTATTTATTAAATACTTCTACGTTTGACGGTAGAATGTGTAGACTCCCTTCTTTCCTTCCTTCAGTAATCTTACTGGGTGTAGTCATAGTAGGTGGAGTCACATGTGTAGTCATAGTAGGTGGAGTCCACGTAGAAGTCATACTGGGAGTAGTCATAGTAGGAGTAGTCACAGGTCTAGTCATAGTAGGTGGAGTCCACGTAGAAGTCATACTGGGAGTAGTCATAGTAGATGCAATCAAAGTAGTAGTCACACTAAGAGTGATGATAGGAGTAGACACAATGGGGGTAGTCATTGCTATACATAAAGTAGTCATATAGGGAGTAGTCACAGTAGGAGTAGTCATATAGGGAGTAGTCACAGTAGGAATAGTCAAAAAGGAGTAGTCACAGTAGTCATACAGGAAGTAGTCACAGTAGTCATATAGGGAGTAGTCACAGTAGGAGTAGTCATGGTAGGAGTAGTCATATAGAGAGTAGTCATACTAGGAGTAGTCATAGTAGGAGTAGTCATGGTAGGAGTAGTCATGGTAGGAGTAGTCATACTAGGAGTAGTCATGGTAGGAGTAGTCGTAGTAGGAGTAGTCATAGTAGGAGTAGTCATACTAGGAGTAGTCATGGTAGGAGTAGTCACAGTAGTCATATAGAGAGAAGTCATAGTAGGAGTAGTCATACTAGGAGTAGTCATGGTAGGAGTAGTCATACTAGGAGTAGTCATGGTAGGAGTAGTCACAGTAGTCATATAGGGAAGTAGTCTCAGTAGTCATATAGGGAGTAGTCACAGTAGTCATATAGGGAGTAGTCACAGTAGGAATAGTGATATAGGGAGAAGTCATAGTAGGAGTAGTCATGGTAGGAGTAGTCACAATCGGACTAGTCATATAGGGGTAGTCATAGTAGGAATAGTCATATAGGGGTAGTCATAGTAGGAATAGTCATACTGGGAATAGCCACCTCGAGACTGAACCGACAATACAGTTCACAGTGAGGCATTACAAGTCGTCGTGATTGGGGAACTTTGTTTTTGACCAGTTGAAGGTAGTTTACCCATAAGGGACTCATTGATATAAATTAAAAATATATGGTGCGCGTTCCCCGATATATCCTGTGAAGGAGGCTTGTTATCGAGTTTAGCGTTCTACTTTGTATCGGGGGGAACACGAGAACGCTTGTCCGATCAACAAAAGGGTATTTACTCAGCGTGAGGCTTACAGTGTGCACTCTTACAGATTGACTTCGCTCCAATAAAACCGAATTGGCTATACGTAATTCACGCAAGTTACGTAATAGATGGGGTGTTTTTTTCAAATCCTGCCTTTTCAGTCACAATGTTGCTGTAAGCTTTTCGAATAGAGATTAAATGAACACTTTTTCATCTCAGGCGTAAATTGCGAAGTGAGTGTTTTCTCCGATGGTCTGGGTGAATTTTGTTTTTATACGAAATGTACGAAGGAAAGACCGAAGGATAATATTCACAATCAGGACACATCTGTCGAACCCACTCTCGTAGGTTCCTGACACGTCAATGGGAGGTAACTCTGAACACGGATTTGCATCGCCTATGTGTAGATATCTAACATATGTAACAGAGTAAACGGGGAAGATTTGACACAAGGATCAGCATACATTGGATACTGACAATATCGATTTTTACCTTTAAGAAAGCAGACCAAATTGGAACTCGCGATCCTAGCATCCTGAAACATCTAAGGGGTGAAACTCTGCACACCGAAAAGCGGGGTTTTAGACGATCTGGAATATAGAAAGGTGGAGTTATCATACCCTGGATAAGGTAAAGTACATCAACGTCATACTTTATGTCGATATATCTGTATTGCTCTCAGTGAATGAAGTAAAGAACGAACAGAAATTGTATGGCATAATGTATGTGATCCTATCATACCACAGGTTTAACAGACCCGTGAAGATCCAGGTTAAAATTGGTCTTCAGCAATCCATGCTTGTCGTAAGAGGCGACTGACGGAATCAGGTGGTCAGGCTCGCTGACTTGTTTGACACATGTCATCGTTTCCCAATTGCGAAGATGGATGGTCATGATGTCAATCATTGGGTTGTCTGGTCCAGACTTGATGTTTTACAGGACGCCGCCATAGAACTGCAATATGGCCGAGTGCGTCGTTAACCAAGAAACAATCAATCAATCATGGCTTAACACGCTGTGAGTTGACAAACTTTGCGTTCTGCGACGAAGTGAGTAAAATCCCACGATTCAGCTATAGTTCATCTTTTCGAAGCGAGAGATTCTAGAGTAAACATTCTGGTTTCAGTTAAAATATTACATGTTAATATTATTTTACATTTTTAGATACACTTTCACCATTCGTGATTGTCAAGGTGAAGGTTACGCATCAGTATTTTCATCTCCCGTAAAACGACAATGTTCATCTCCAGGAGAGCAAAGAAGAGACTGCTGTTGGTGGCTCTAGTCGCCCTCATTGGTGGAGTCCTCTATGTCAATTTGGAAGAGGTAGAAATAACTGTGTTGAAGGGAGACATTTTCAAGATTTCCAATTTGAAAGAAGATATTGTGGCCACGTGGACCAGAATACCAAAGGTGTACATATATTCGTTGCCACCAAAGTTTAACAGAGATATTCTGAATTGTGTGCAGAATGAAATGTATCCAACATACTGTTTACATTTACAAAACGGAGGAATTGGAAAGCTGTTATACAGGGAAGGGGAGATGGGAGTATTTCACACCAATCAGTTTTCCCTTGAGGTGATTCTTCACAACCAGCTTCTGCAGAGTCGATACCGAACGATGAGTCCAGAGGAAGCCGACATCTTCTACATCCCTGCTTACATGGGGATATTGAGATATTGTAAAACACCAGAAACCGTCACACAATTACAAGAGGAGTTGTTCAAGGTCATACATTCTATGCCCTACCTAAGGCAAGGGAAGCCTCACCTCTCAGCACTGGCGAAAATTGAACGGGAACAAGCAGCACACGACTACCCTTTGCTTCAGAACCCAAACTGTAGAAATGTGACGTATGTTGCCATTGAAAAGGACTTTAACCAGAAGTACAGAAAGTTTCTAGGTCTTGAGAACCAGAGAATTATAGTGGCTCCCTACCCATCGTATGTGCATCTGTACAACGCTAAATCAGCTCCACGGGAAATATCTTCACCTGGATTAGGAAAACGAGAGTTACTGATGTTTATTGCGGCTGGTGTGAAGTCAAACCAGTTCAGACAAAGAGTTCTGGATCAGATGTCTCATAGAGTTACGGATGTAAGCTTTGATCAAATAGTTGATGTTTTGAAACAGCAGAAACAGGAAATGCCCATCGGGGTCTATCTGAATACAGTGGAGTGTCACACTGGTCATGCGAACATCACGATTGGATGGATGCAGAAGTCCGTGTTCTGTCTTCAACCTCCTGGAGACTCCCCAACAAGGAAGTCATTTTATGACAGTATTCAAAGTGGATGCATTCCAGTCATTTTCAGATTTGCTGATCAGAATGTGGAATACCCCTTCCAAAGGGTTTTGAATTATACGGATTTCACAGTGGCAATTGATTCAGCACGGATAGAGCGACAGGAGAAGATTCAAGACATTCTAATTGCGATTCCGAAGGAGGAGGTCAAAAGACTCCATCAGAATGTTCTTAAGGTTGCCAGGATGTTACAGTACAATGTCATCGAATCTGGCACAAGTGATCAACCACGTTCTTACAAAGATGCTCTGGACATGATCATGGAGGAGGTGCAGCACATGTTTAATAGCTGACGATTGAATAGTAGTATAGTGAATACTTTCACGCGCTCTTAGCTTGACTGTAACAAAGGATAGTGCTTCGCTAGAATGTTCCAGGCAGGAATTGCGAGTCAGGGCCCAGCAACAGTAAGATGCACGGGATTTAAACGAGTTTTACACATTTATTTAGTCTAAATGAGAGGACTTGATGAAAAAATCTGTTTTGCCATTCAAATGTCAAATGAGTCAATGTTTAACGTTTTAGTCAGACATAATTTTGTTATTGTCGCGAGAAGCTTTTTGTTTTTTCATTTTAATATATAATCTGTACCAGAAGTTGGCAGTTCCAAGAGAGCTGATGAATTTATGCAGTGTTTATTTGTTCATTTTCCCTGTTATTTTCGAACAATATATACCACCTATGTGTCGGTGATCTGCAAATGATGGTGTGTGTCTGTATGTGTGAATGTTTAACGCCGCACTCAGCAATATTTCAGATACATGGCGGCGGTCTGTAAATAATCGAGTGTGTCAACAATCTACTCAATTGGGATACATACAATGTGTCAACCAAGCCAACGAACCTGATCACCCGATCCCGTTAGTCGCCTCTTACGACAAGCAGGGGTTACTGAACATCAATTATAACCCTGAACTTCACGGGTCCACCTCATCCCGTGAGTCGCCTCTTACGACAAGCATGGGTTACTGAAGATCAATTATAACCCGGACCTTCACAGGTTTCTAGTGGCTGATACTATGAGCAAACATCATCGCCACATGTTTAAGATAATGAAAACATTCATTGAGGTGTCTCTAACGGTCACCATGGGTGACTGGGCACTAATTCGAACCCGGAAGCCCATTGAGTGTGTATATGGCATGTGTGTGAGTGACAATTTCAGCTACATTATGTGGATTTGAACTCCAAGGCAGCCCCTTCTCCACGATTTCCTAAAGGCGACATACATCAATGTACCATCACTTCCAGCCTCATGTTTAAGATAAAGTACACGTCTACTTCAAACCCGAACCTGATTTATTAAACACATTATATTATTTTTCCTCAGGCTAACACAATGAGAATCGCCAACACATTCCACCTTATGGCATCATTTTGGTCTGATGAAACTTTGGGGTTTGGACTTAGAAAACCCCTTCATTCTTGCTACTTTACCGTACATTTACACAGCACTTCTTTACTGTAAAAAGTCAATGCCCTGCGTTTTCAGAACAACTCAGCGTCTATTGTAATCATACAGTTTCTGCTGTCTACGTATCCCTATATGTATTTTATGTCTGCCTCATTACTTTTCTACATGGCAATATTGTATCAATAAGTGGGAGGCGTACTTCAAACTAAATCACAAGAATTGTAGCAGTGTCGATGATAACACTAAACGTAGAGGAATGTTTGCATTTCTTAAGAAACAAAAGAAATATCTTCTGTTTGCAAGATGTTCAAATGACAAAAACTATGGAACAAAGTATAAAAAGAAGGGAGTAATCAAAAAGATTGTGCCTTTAGCTTTCATTAAAGTAATTCTAGAGAGGTAAGCCCAAGTGAGTTAATATTTAACGTCACATCGGCAATATTTCAGCCATATCGTGACTATTGTGACTGTAAAACTGATCTGCCATATTAATGACATTGGGCTTATTGCAGAACTTAACAACCTATTGTTATAATTTATGGATTGAAATGGACGATGTGATACTTCTGGCACCCCAGACACGACAATTAGATCCTTTAATAGTGATCGCTTTGTAGGGTGACTGGGGCGTTACCTAAAACTATTCGAACGATGCTTTCAATTACAAAAATGTAAAACAAAAACCCACAGATGCTAAAGATGAAGTTTTGCTTCCTTTGGGACGAATTAGATTTAATGTATGTCTGTATGAAAGTCATTCATATACACTTGTTAGTGGGTAGCAGACAAGGCGATGCTTTGTCTCCATGTATTTTTATACTATGTACGGAAATACTAGCAGTAATGACAGGAAACAACATGGCCATAAAAATCATTAAAATTGGTAATAATGAATAATTATTCACACGATTTCCAAACAACACAGTGTTCTCTGGACCTCCAGTGTGATGACTCTGTACCTTACTACAGGTTCTGAGCTTTTATTCTAGCAAATTTCTAATTTACATGTTAACAAGTTGATTGGCAAGAAGGCTGAGGGCACATTGCTACAAGGTACTGATACTACTCTTAGAAAAAAACTTTAGTTCGTCTTTTGGATGGTTTTGGGTCCGCATGTGATATTTTTTCTTATACTGAATTTACAGGAACCAAATGTGCTTCATTCACACCAGTCACAGAACTGGAACTAAAGAAACTAATCACTTCATCAAAACCAACAGTATGTTCGTTAGATCCATTACCTACAAGATTCCTCCTCGGATTATTGGATGTGCTCCTTCTTCCTGGGATCACGAAGACTGTAAACATCTGTTTGTGTACAGGAAAGGTGCCATCATGTTTCAAGAAAGCAGTTACCAAGCCCCTAATCAAGAAACCATCTCTTGACGCTCAGATCTTAAGAAACTACCGTCCGTTATCCAATGTAACATTCATGTCACAGTGTCTGGAAAAAGTCGCCAAAGAACAGCTTTTTAAACATCTTCAAAAGACTTATCTGATTTTACTAACTATGAAAAAGCAAGTAGACTATCTCTGCAAAGAATGCCATTTTCATTTGAGAAATATAGGATCAATTCGTCCCTTTCTGAAACTACAGCCAGATCACTGATCCTGTCTCGTCTGGATTACGTCAGCCTACTCATGGGAATGTCTGGAGATCAGTTGAACAGGCTGCAGATGGTACAGAACAGAGCTTCCCGTATCATAACCAGGTCTAGGCTTCATTCTCATATGCCCCACTGCATTGGAATCCGGGAGAGGACTGACTTTACTTATACCCTTATCTTCAGGAGATGTTTCCCCACCACCAGCCCAGTAGAAATCTCCGATCAGAGATCAGAACGGCAAACTACCCTTTATTAATATGTCTACTAGTTATGATTATGTCACATGTTTAGGAGTGTATACAGCAAAGTGGAAGGAGAGTATTGAAAGGTATTTAAGATCTGCTCCAGAAAGGAGCACTACCACCAAATTCAGTTGAAGCCTAACTTGTTGCCATGGGAATGCAACAAGGTGACATCCTCATAGTCACAGCCTAAGTCACGTTTCCATGGAAACCAAAACAAATAACATTCATATCTGGGTCTAACTCCCAAAAGGCACATCTAGGGATCATGCTTGATATGTGTACCAAGTTTGATGAAGCTAACATGTATAATTTAGGAGATCTGCTCCGGACAAGATGACATCTTCATACCCACAGGTTAAGTCACGTTTCCATCGAAACCACAAAAATAAAATTCATCTAGGGATCCCGGCCCCCACATCTTTGAAAGAACAAATCATCTGACAGTTACTTAAAGTCCAGCTTGATTTTAGACAGTGCAAATCGTTTCCATGGAAATCATGAAAAAAATAAATGACAAAAATCTGCAAATAGCAAAAGGTACCACTTCAAGATCTGATATCTCACATATCTGCCAAGTTTTGCTGAAAGATATTAAGAAGTTTTCCAGTTGTGCTCCGGAAACGAAACCTACCCCGCCCTTTTGAGACTAAGTCTGAATTGTTTCAATTGAAACCGTGAAAAATAAATGACAAAAATCTGCAAATAGCAAAAGGCACCACTTTGGGATCTGCCTCACATATCTGCCAAGTTTTGCTGAAAGATATTGAGAAGTTTTCGCGTTGTGCACCGGAAACAAAACCTACCCCTCCCTTTCGAGACTAAGTCCGAATTGTTTCCATGGAAACTGAGAAAATAATAAATCACAAAAATCTGCAAATAGCAAAAGGCACCACTTCAAGATCTGACTCACATATCTGCCAAGTCTGAATTTAAGTTTTTCCAGTTGTGCTCCGGAAACTGAAACCTACCCCGCCCTTTTGAGACTAATCTGAATCACAAAATCTAATAAATCACAAAAATCTGCAAATAGCAAAAGGCACCACTTTGGGATCTGCCTCACATATCTGCCAAGTTTTGCTGAAAGATATTGAGAAGTTTTCGAGTTATGCTCCGGAAACGAAGCCCACCCCTCACTTTTAAGGACTAAGTCCGAATCGTATCCATGGAAACCGGGAAAAATAAAAATGCCAAAAATCTGCAAATAGCAAAAGGCACAACTTTAGGATCTGTTTGATATATCTACCAAGTTTAGTTGAAAAATATTATACGGTTATTCAGTTGTGCTCCGGAAACGAAGCCCACCCCTCACTTTTAAGGACTAAGTCCGAATCGTCTCCGTGGAAACCAAGAAAAATAAAAATGACAAAAATCTGCAAATAGCAAAAGGCACAAATTTAGGATCTGTTTGATATATCTACCAAGTTTTGTTGAAAATCATTTTACGGTTTTTGAGTTGTGCTCCGGAAACGAAGCCCACCCCTCACTTTTGGGACTAAGTCCGAATCGTTTCCGTGGAAACCAAGAAAAATAAAAATGCCAAAAATCTGCAAATAGCAAAAGGCACCACTTAAGGTTCTGTTCGATATATCTACCAAGTCTTGTGGAAAAATATTGAACGGTTTTGAGTTATGCTCCGGAAACGAAGCCCACCCTTCTTTAAGACTAAGTCCAAAACGTTTCCATGGAAACCGAGAAAAATAAAAATGACAATAATCTGTAAATAGCAAAAGGCACCACCTTAGGTTATGTTTGATATATCTACCAAGTTTTGTTGAAAAATATCGAACGGTCTTTGAGTTATGCTCCGGAAACAAAATTATAACGGACGGGCGGACGGACGAGGCGACGACTATATCCCATGGGATGCCGGTGGGATAAAAAAATGAAATTCATATCTGGGTCTAACCCCAAAAGGCACATCTAAGGATCATGCTTGATATGTGTACCAAGTTTGATGAAGCTAGCATGTATAGTTTAGGAGATCTGCTCCAGACAAGATGACATCCTTATAGTCACAGGCTAAGTCACGTTTCCATGGAAACCGCAAAAAATAAAATTGTCATCTGGGTCTAACCCCCAAAAGGCACATCTAGGGATCATAGTTGACATGTGTACCAAGTTTGGTTAAGCTATTACCAATAGTTTAGGAGATATGCTTCGGACAAAGTGTGACGGACGGACGCACAGACGGACGAACTCGTTTCTATAACAAAGTTGGGGGGGATAATAAACTGAAATCTTTCAGTGCTCGATTCTTCTTATGCAGCTGCTTCATTATGGAACTCTCTCTCTCTCTCGATCCTTCTCATGCAGCTGCTTCATTATGGAACTCTCTCGATCTTTCTCATGCAGCAGCTGCTCTCATTTCTCATGCAGCTGCTTCATTATGCTCTCTCTCTCTCTCGATCCTTCTCATGCAGCTGCTTCATTATGGAACTCTCTCTCTCTCTCGATCCTTCTCATGCAGCTGCTTCATTATGAAACTCTCTCGATCCTTCTCATGCAGCTGCTTCATTATGGAACTCTCTCTCTCTCGATCCTTCTCATGCAGCTGCTTCATTATGGAGCTCTCTCTCTCTCGATCCTTCTCATGCAGCTGCTTCATTATGGAACTCTCTCTCTCGATCCTTCATGCAGCATCCTTCTCATGCAGCTGCTTCATTATGGAACTCTCTCGATCCTTCCTCATGCAGCTGCTTCATCTGGAACTCTCTCGATCCTTCTCATGCAGCTGCTTCATTATGGAGCTCTCTCTCTCTCCTTCCTTCTCATGCAGCTGCTTCATTATGGAACTCTCTCTCTTCTCATCAGCTGCTTCATTATGCAGCTGCTTCATCGATCCTTCTCATGCAGCTGCTTCATTATGGAGCTCTCTCTCTCCTCTCATGCAGCTGCTTCATTATGGAGCTCTCTCTCTCTCAATCCTTCTCATGCAGCTGCTTCATTATGGAACTCTCTCTCTCGATCCTTCTCATGCAGCTGCTTCATTATGGAACTCTCTCTCTCGATCCTTCTCATGCAGCTGCTTCATTATGGAACTCTCTCTCTCTCTCGATCCTTCTCATGCAGCTGCTTCATTATGGAACTCTCTCTCTCTCGATCCTTGCAGCTGCTTCATTATGCTCTCTCTCATCCTTCTCATGCAGCTGCTTCATTATGGAACTCTCTCGATCTTCTTCTCTCTCTGCAGCTGCAGCTGCTTCATTATGGAACTCTCTCTCTCTCTCAATCCTTCTCATGCAGCTGCTTCATTATGGAACTCTCTCTCTCTCAATCCTTCTCATGCAGCTGCTTCATTATGGAACTCTCTCTCTCTCTCCTTCTCATGCAGCTGCTTCATTATGGAACTCTCTCTCTCTCTCTCATATACCGCCTCTGTGGTGTAGTGGTTAGAGCGTCCGTCCAGAGAGCGGAAGGTCGCGGGTTCGATTCCCGACCGCGTCATACCAAAAGACATTAAAATACGGTACACGTTGGTCCCTGTCTGGCGCTCGGCATTAATGGGTACAACAAGGACTGGTCGGCTCAGAGTCAGTATAATGTGTCTTAGTGGGGTATTCATGCTTCACTGTGGCATGGTATCTCAGTGGGCTAGCACTATAAAACCAGCTTAAGTCTGGGCTAGTACAAGCAGCCGCACATACACATACACACGCATGCACATCGTCATATGAGCGAAATATTCTCAAGCACGACGTTAAACCCAATTTCACCTCACCTCACCTCTCTCACACATCTCTTCCGACGCTACCACTAACTGTCTGCCTTCTCTATATATGTACATATATGCTATGATGCGCTTTGAGCATGTCCATCAGTGTTGTGGAACAAACGAGTTATTAATATTATTATTAACATTCATTGTGTTCATACAGACGAAGCATTCATACATACAAATCTACATGTCATTAGACTGTCTACCAGACCCTACAGAATAAATAAAAATATAAACTTGAGTACAACTCAAGACTAGAATGACTGAGCACGTCTAAATTGACTCAGTTCTAGACCTGGTATTACGAGTGAGTGAGTGACTGACTGAACATCACAACAAACAGCTTTATCAGTTTTTTATTTCTTTTACATGACATATTTCTCTTTTAAAAAACAAAAGGAAATGAGGAGAAAATCATTAACACCATAACTCGAAAATGTAATCATAAACAAACACATCAAAATTTATTGACGTTATAATCTCTCTGCAAAATAACATTTATTAAGGTGTTTCTCCTATTACACAAATATGACATTCATCATCATTATGATGATAACGATAGTGTGTAGAAGCAGCAATTTATACAAAACAACTGGAAGCACTGAAATAATTTAGTCAATAATCGTTGCATCATGTAAGCAGCTGTTGCTCCCCAGATCAATTTCAGTCTGTCTACATTTGTCACATATTTTTCAGATTACAGTCTCAGCCTCTCAAAGCCAAATTGCATAATATAAAACGAAATGTATGTTTATATATAATCAAATGCCCTACCTTTAAAAATACTACAATGAAAGAAATAATGATAGGGCAACTTCTGACTTCTTAAATATTAATACATGAAATACATTGTGTGTAATCTCTGGTGCTGCATATACTGACTAACAACAAGAAACCTACTCTGACAGACACACACAATATACTGAGAGAAACAAATAAAGTAACACATGGGAATGCAAGTGTTCCTTTAATATTTCCCAGTTTTCATCAACAGATTTAAATAATGCTGTGATGAATGATGTTTTATTAGGAGTTCCAAAACAACTGCCACCATGCCCATGAAACTGTATGCTGCTCTTAGCAAGCTGAAACAGTATGGTACATATTGTAGTACAAGGCCTTCAGTTCGGTTCGGTTCGGTTCAGTTCGGTTCGGTATATGAGATATAATCATAATGCAGGAAATTGACAAGAAGAGCCAAACCTTACATTGTTTAATAACGCGGCAAAATTATAACAACAATCTTTGTTATTTTGAATAAACAAAACTGTCATTTTATGACTAGATAAAAGAACGGTACGAAAACCGAAAATACCGATTTTTGGATTGCATTACGGAATACCGAACCGAAGGCAAAATACAGCAGTTCTACTAATACTGCGGTGTACCGTTTCACCCCTATGTTTATGCTGATTGATCAAGCTAGATCAAGATTAGATCAGCCTCATCACAAACTGAAGCCATCAAATCCTCATTTTTCCATCTTCATGAGAGAGTGGGAGTGAGCTGACTCTGGTTGCCTCAATTTAGCAGGTTGATCCTGCCTTTTATGAGTTATGTCCCTTTATGTCCTTCCAACTGACTGAACAAATTTCACCCATAACATGACTTGATTGACCTCAACGTGGGAGCCTGGTCAAGACAATTTAACTACTATTTTATATCGACGTTGTAATTAAAGGGGTTCTTACCACACAAAGTGCCTCAATTTACTGGAGCACCTTGACTAAAAATATTCAGATTTGGAAAATATGTGTGGATGCCACATTGATGATGGTACATGTTTTGCAAGTCCTGCAGACCAGACTATGCAGGGAAAGTTTACCTACAATATGTCTATTTTGTTTTGTGGACGATGGATTGACTACTTAGTCCAGCCAGCCCAGTCGGGGACAGGTGGAAAACTTTTATAATCAGGTAATCCCTTTCATTAATAAAATGTCTCTTTGGAGCTGGTATGCAGTGAGCAAAATAGTTTCCAAATTTTGCCTTGTCATGCCTGAGGCCTGAAAATAATTCACCAGCCCGAAATTTGAATGTAGAAACTAAGCAAAAGATTACAAAAATAGATGAGAATGAGATATTGACGGTATGACACAGGTTTCATCAATAAGCTGCTGATATGATGATATACAATTATGTACTGGTGAATTTGGTCAATACCTGTTTTTATGGACCTGCGAAAAGCAATATTGACCAAGGACGAAGTCCGAGGTCAATATTGCTTTTCGTGGGTCCATAAAAACAGGTATTGACTGAATTCACCAGTACATAATTGTTTTATTATGTAATTACCAAAAAACAACAACTTCTAAACACCAAAACATGTCCATTTAGTCAAGAAAAGTAATTTTGTTTTTGCTACAAACCAAAAAAGTTATGTCAACAATACTGTGACATGTAAACAATAGAATGACGTCATAGCGTGACGTCAAAGTCTATTTTTAGTAACTCAAGTCAATAAGACTTTTGGTCGGACCTGGTCGGACCATCACACTCACAAAATTAAAGAAGTTGTTATCCATAAAGTTTGTGGTCTTAAACTCATTTTTATGCAACTTGTCAAAGACAATCAAGGACCTACATAAATCAAGACAGAACATCACCACAAACATTATGTAATATAACCCAAAAACATATGGAATAAGTTGACAGATTAGCTTTTAACAATATTCTCCATCATCTGAGCACTAAAATCACAATAAACTTTTCACACCGATGTTCCCTACATGATTAGTGTGTTTTGTTAATATCACAAACACACAACCATATTCCAGCTATATGACCTTGACCTCTAAAAGGTCAAGTTTGACGACGAGACCAGGAAACAGTGACATGTTATCAAGCCAGTCACCTGACCACACGATTCAACTGCTGGCCTTACAGCAAAGGTAAGTGTATTGGGCCCGCAAGTAGGTCACGGCACCTCACGAGACCGGTGACATACAACGTACACGTGGTCTGATCTAGTAAAGTCATATTTGGCGGTCATGCAATTTGGAACCAGGAGCTGGACGCCATCTCGCATATCACAAGTTGGCACACACAAAGGGGGCCAGGAACCAGCTTAGTACCGGAAGTAGGGCCTCGCGAGAATTACAGGGCCTATTGGGACCATTTTAATCACCTTCTGGTGATGATTTCAAGTGGTTGCTCAAACAACAAGTACAACTTTTCCTCCAATTCATATAACCTTCTAGAAATCAGTACTAAAAAAGTCTGATGCACTTTCAAATGGTAATGGAATGTAGGTCAACCGACTCGGTGGCTAGTCAGAAACATAAATTCAAAATCATGACATGTACCTTCACTGTTATTGTTATAGATGTGACATAATTAAATATTATTACCATATTTTATCTATTTAGCACTATTCACATACAGGAAACACATTCTGGTCTTAATCAACACAAGTGAGTGCTAGGTCAATGGATGTAATGAATATGATTCATTTACATGTATATTTAATTTTATTTTGCAGACATTCACAGCTGATGGCCTATCACCCTGACTGCCACAACCATGACAAAGACCATTGCATATCATAGACATTCTATAATAAGTGTACTTATTTTAACTATCAGGTGTAAAAGGACAATATATAATCAATATTTTAAATATCATAGCATGGCTCCATCTTCGTGAGAATATTCTTCTAGGAATTTCAGTCCCTCTTTTGTCAGCGAGTCTGTATTTCTGATTCCGCCTCGTATTTGCACGATGGCATCACACAACCAACACAATTGTTCATCCCAGAATAACAAACTCATGCCAGTTTACTCTTCAGTGTGTAGTCTCACCACAAACAGCGAACTACTCGTCATCACAAATATTCTGTCATTAGTTGCCCGCAGTCCCAAAATGTCATCGGTGGTATCTAGGGCAACCACTTGTTGCTTAGCAACTGCATTCACCTGCCGCCCGGTTTTCCTGTTCCTCAAAGGGGAGGCAATCGGCATATGTTGCCTGTAAATGTACAGGTGTCGTGTGCAGTCAGATATCACAGCGTATGACATATCTGGGGAGCAGGAAGAAAACTTTCGCTGGACCTTAGATGCTTGCACATATCCAAATGCATGCAGCATTCCGACATGATCGAGAATTTGTTTGCCATCTTTCGCAGCATCACTTGGTTGCCATAGTGACCCATCGCAATCGTACCTGAGACACACAGCGGGTGTTTTACTGGGTTCCAGACACACGTTGAACAGCCACTGATGACTGCTGAGATACACCTGGAAGATAACAGAGTGAGTGAGTGAGTTGGGTTTCATGCTACATTCTAACAGCATTCCAATTACATCACAGCATGTCAGATTACTGAGGGAAGAAAGCCAAAAGTTGTACAAAGGATCACAAGTATGGTGCAGACAAACCCAGAAATATAATCAGGGCACAGTGGGATTTGAACTCATAATCATAGGTTTTGGGTGTCCTCAATGAATGCACCTATGTTAATCGTCCACCTGTGCCACAAGACTGTATCGAATCACAGGAGAATGTTGGTTTATGCCAGTATACAATATTTCAACAATTAACTGCTACCTATATATGACACAGTGCAGAGGTAGGCAGTCCAGTGGTTGATAGTATGAACACCAATCTACACTATCAGGGTACAAATGCACTGTAATCGCCAAATCATCATGTGACCCCTTTCTAAATCTTAGTCTGCTCTTTTGACAAACATCCAGTGCTTGGATTCCTGGACTCTGCATATCAAATTATTGTTATTAAACACCTCATCCTGTCTAACCATGAAGCAGCAAACATTTCCCAAACTGGAGACTGAAATTCAATATTGGTAATTTTGACTCTCCTGCTAATACTGTATTTGAGACGTCCTACTGCTAGAGGATGTACAGTATCCAAAATATTTAACAACCAACTTCCAGATGCTAAAGTTGTGTGAAAGCCGGCAAAATAATGAACAATTTGTAAGAGAAAACATTTCTCTAAAACAAAACATCTGCATCCTAGAGAAATAAGAAAGTGAATGAAGACAAGCACTGTGAGTCACATGGTCGACTGGAGCAGGCTCCACACATGCATGAGCTTACAGTGACTGCCTAAAACAATATCTGGAGCTGGGAGGTGTTCGGGCAAGGTGTTTAAAGAAGGTTGAAAACTTCGTTCCAGGTCATTTTCACTCCGAGGTCATGAGAACAAGAGAATGTAGATAACATGAGATAGGATAAGTCTTAAACTTTCAACACTGGTAGTTTTTGACTGCTCTTGTTAATTTCTGTATTTGACATGTCCTACTGCTAGAGATTGTACGGTATCCGAAATGTTCAAGTGTTGCATTTCATATAATCATTCATTTCTCAATTTTGTAATGTGCACCTCATTAGAAATCTTGTGAGTTTCCCCATCTATCCGCATGAACCATGTACTGTCCTCAGTGCTGGCATCACAGTCTTCCAGATCCTGGGTGTTGAATGGCTTCCCCTGGTCCTCCTCTGGGGCGGGGTTCTGGAGGCAACAACACAGGCATCATTACCCTGGGAGCACAACATCATCACTGTACTTGCAGCACAACACCCTCACTACTTTAGCATCACAACACCCTCACTACTTCAGCAACACAACACCCTCACTACTCCAGCATCACAACATCCTCACTACTCCAGCATCTCAACACCCTCACTACTTCAGCAACATAACACCCTCACTACTCCAGCACAACACCCTCACTACTCCAGCATCACAACACCCTCACTACTTCAGCATCACAACACCCTCACTACTCCAGCACAACACCCTCACTACTCCAGCATCACAACACCCTCACTACCCCAGCATCACAACACCCTCACTACACCCTCACTACTCCAGCATCACAACACCCTCACTACCCCAGCATCACAACACCCTCACTACTCCAGCATCACAACACCCTCACTACCCCAGCATCACAACACCCTCACTACTCCAGCATCACAACACCCTCACTACTCCAGCATCACAATACCCTCACTACACCCTCACTACTCCAGCATCACAACACCCTCACTACCCAAGCATCACAACACCCTCACTACTCCAGCATCACAACACCCTCACTACTCTAGCATTACAACACCTTCACTACTCCAGCATTAAAACATCCTCACTACAACACCATCACAACATCATCACTACAACACCAAAACAATATCATAGCAACGCCATGACAACATGACAACCCCACGAGGGGACAGTGAGGTAGCCTAGTGAGTAAAGTATTCACCCATCCTGCCATGTTTCCCCTCATGGAATAAGATGTGTTGTGCCCATATCTTGTGTCTCCGGAACAAGAAACTTCCATAACATTGCTAAAGGTGTCATAAAACGTTTTTACCCACTCACTCACTCCCAACACTCACCACACAGACACATCACTTCTTATACATACAGGAAGAGTAAGTAAACTACCATCTGATCTGACGTATATGAGGCCAGTCTCTCATGAATCTGGTTGATCTGGTCAGGGTCTAAGACCATCTCTCCTCTGTTGTCACCAATGACAACAGTCGGCCACGCAGTCTGGTTCTCTTTGGATAAGGACAGAACCAATCTGAAACACATCCAGCAGTTCATCAACCTGTCAACCACTAGGCTGTGCCAACATGAAGACACTGGGACACAAAGATGACAGCCAATGTGCCCATGTCTGGAGTTACCATGACAACACTTAACACTGCAACAATGCTATTACCCTATCAGCTATCACCCTATGTACAATGTAATAGCTGCAAACCTCAAAGACACTTTGAAAAGTGAATTAGTGTTTTTAAAACATTACATTAATTTCATGGAATATTCAAAATTAAACCAATGTCATCTTTGTTAATAATATTGATATTGCACAAAAATATTAAAATGTGCAGCAAATGACAGGATGAAAAAGTAGAGGTTATATCCATCAATTTGATATATGCATGTTCCTTACAAACATAGCTCACTGTATCTGATATCTGTTTGTCTGTGTGTCTGTTGTTCAGCGCCACACTCAGCAATATTCCAGCTATATGGCGGCAGTCTATAAATAAACGAGTCTGGACAAGATAATCCAGTGATCAACAGCATGAACATCGATCAACACAATTGGGATACAATGACGTGTCAACCAAGTCAGCGAGCCTGACAACCCGATTTCGCTCATATGACGATGTGCATGTGTGTGTATGTGTGGCTGCTTGTACTAAGCTGGTTTTATAGTGCTAGCCCACTAAGATACCATGCCGCAGTGAAGTATGAATACCCCACTCAGACACATTGTACTGACTCCGAGCCGACCAGGCAGGGACCAACAAGTACCATATTTTAAAGGTCACATGCAACGTAAAACACAACTTTGCAGATTCTGATACCTTTCGGTATGGACTTAACGAAACAAATCATCAAAAATGCAAATTCAACTTATAAAGTTGAAAAATAACGCGATGAAAAAAAACGCGCGAAATCGGAGTTCAAACGATTCACTAATTTTCCCCCGACTTTTGGGGGGAGAACTGGTTTCAACAGCTGGGCTGCGCTCATAGCACGTGCGCAGTGAAATAGGTTCGCGCAACTTGGAAGCAGGCTGTCCGGTGAATACTCGGTGAAGGCTTTGGTGTGAGCTATTTTCCCAATGTTTTGTTGATATCTCACAGGCGCGAGCTTTTTATATGTTATGACAGTAAATAAACTGTTTATATAATTTCATTTGTCTATTTCACCACACGTTCTTCTTACCGAGTCACTTTCTCAGTTCGATACTTAAAAGCAATGTCATTATTTAGTGTTGACAGAATTTCTAACTATGATATTATGTCGTTGTCACAGACAAAACTCAATGTCTTGTTTTATTGACACCTGTGTGTCTGCCTGCCTGTCTGCTAATGACAATATTCAATACACAACTGCGATCACTGACCACACGCAATTTGAACTTAACACCAATCAGGCTATACACCATAAACAAAACGCATTGATTTATGGCCCGAGTTCGGTCTCTGTCACATTATGTAATTACACAGACAGGCAGGTGTGATACTTGAACACATGACATGTTATGATGTCTGTTGATTGCAAAATGTTATACACAAAAAATGAGCATGTATTTACAAAACCCAACATCTCTATATATACACACACAATGAGCCGTGAGGGCATCTGCAAATGAACCAGCCGTTACATTTGAGAGCACACCCACCCGCTCTGACTGGGTTCGGTATCCCGGCTGCTTCGTTTCTTGGGAAGTAAACCCAAGTACACAATATTGCACTTTTGATTGTACGCATATAATTTTGTTTATATGTTTTTTCATAACCAGCAATGTATATTATATGTCATGAATAAGTGATAATTGTGTTTTAATTATGTTTGATTTTTTGGTTGCATGTGACCTTTAACATCTTTTGCTATGACGCGGTCGGGGATCGAACCCGCGACCTCCCGCTCTCCGGGCGGACCTACACATCAAAATATGCACCACACAAACGTCACTGAAATATGAAGACCTATTTTGACGATCCCTAATTACTCACTTCTGCCCCTCGATGGTCCATGTGCTGGCCTCAACGTCCACCTCGGTGTGCAGCGCCCCCTTCAGGAGCACTGTGCTGTTCTTGACCCCAAAGTCCACATGGTCTGCACTGAGGGTCAGATAGATGTCGGCCTTGCTGACCGTGGTCGGGACAGTGAACTGGACATGTATGTCCTCGTTGTCCTGTGTCCAGGTGTATTCTGGGAGCTTGTCTGTCAATAAGGTCAATCATATGCACATATGCCCTCAAGGAATGTAATAGCCTTGATTACAAGGTTAAAAATGTCAATATGTCCAAATTTCCAAGACCAGGTGACAAAATAAAACTAAGGAGAGGTACAGTCAGACAATACTCCAGAATAAAAGCAAAAAGAACAAAAAATCATATGTAAAATTTGAAAATGGGAAATGTGTATTTTTGAGCTGTCAAGTTTACAAGAGTTACTTCCCTTCCCTTATCCATATTTCAACGTTTGGTGGCACTGTCACACAGTTGTGACCGACGTGTATATTTTATAAGTTGATAACATGATAGATAGTCCCAACCAAAAGCTGGCATTGTAGCATGAACAACAAGTGGCTACAATCAAAGAGGAAAATATTGCTATATGTGCAATGATGTTACGATTAATAACCTGAGAGTTATTTCATCATTCCTTAGCCTGATTCATTGATTGAAAACCGCTTCTTGGTTGAAGCACTATGTGAAATAGTCTCAAAATATTGCTGGCCAGGTGGGTTAGCTAGTTTTTAGAGATACTAGCATGTTCAAATTTCACAACTAATTACATAAAGAAAAATAACAGATTTATTCCAGATTTTAATTTTTGCCCTGGTATTAACATAGTAAATCAAAATTGCATTGGCTAATATTTCAGGAAAACCCTTTTTCAAATTTTCACTGCCTATAACCAAATTCAATTAAAATTCACTGTATCATATCTACTTGAGTGTCTCAACCACATTCAAAGTAGACATTTAAAAAGGATTGTTCAAAATTATCATTTGTAAATTATCTTGATGATCTTACCATCTCTCCCCACAACTTCCCAGTCCCCCTCTGAATCAGGCTGCACTGGCTTCACAGAATCTGACACCAGCTTGTAGCGCTGACTGGCCGAAATCAGGACAGAGTTGCCTCCCTTGTCTAAAGCAGCATAGTCATAGGGCTTGCTTCCCTCCAGTCGTCTCGTCCTCTCCACACACCAGGTCTTCTTGTCAACTGCATCACAAACAGTGACACATCACTGAAGGCCTTAAAGTTCAATTTATTACAAAATTGTAATTTTTCGGATAAAACTGATATCTTATACTTATCCTGACACATGCTATATTCCGTATCTCCCTTCTCCTTTTGACATTCAAGTGGAAACTTGAATCCTGTTTAGTTCCCGAAGTGAATGTACAATCACTCACCCTCAAGTTGCCTCCCTTTTCCCCGCCATATTGCACCCACATGACCAAAACCATGCTGTCCTCACTCTCTCCTTCATCGCCCAAGCAGACGGTTGGGCGTTCACTTCAGGGTCCTTTTTGCGCTTTATATCCTTATAACTTTAGATCTTTAGCTCAAATTACGCCAAAAGGAAGATAATCAATATAGCATGAGTCAGGATAAGGAAAACTTAGCTACATGGCTTCAAGTACTTTTTTCCAGGTAGCCAACAGTAAAATCAAACTGTAATCACTCATTTACAATCCTGTTAAATGATGAATGCGATTATCTCCTGATAAAACATGTTACCATGGTTACCTGACACTATGGTGATCCACTCAATGACTGTGAGGAAAGGAGACATGGAGGATCCAGCCTCGGCCTCCCTCTCCTCCACGTACAGGAGGAGACACTCCACGCGGTCTGTCTCATTGTCCGAGTGATGTACAGAGTCAACAACAACAAACTGCTTCCCATCACCTAGGACCGGCTTGCTGTACAGGCTCTGAAGCATTGGGCATCACCAGCATTAACTGAATGTTCATAGTATCTTCATCATCAACATGATCAAAGCATTTCATTTAAACTTTCTTGTTTCATCTGAGAACCATCAATATACAAACTGGGGCTTCAAGATTCATCTTTGTGTCTGTAATGTGTCTCTTTGGTGTGTTATCAAAAGAATTGATGTGAATCAAGATCTGTAAATAGTCGAGCCTGTACCAGACAATCCAATGACCAACATCACGAGCATCAAAATACGCAACTGGGATATGAAGACATGTGTATTCAATTTTTTAACTAAAAGTTTTTTTATTGGTATCAATCATTGCTTCATGTGTTGTGTGAAATAATAGTGATGATTGATCATACACATTATATAAGATGTTTGATAACATTGAATAATGACCCGAATATTTGAACCAAAAGTGTAAAGCTTAACCATTCAATTATTGGAACAGAAAGCACTGCTAAGAACCAACCTTCCATTGTTTTGGCACCCCTTTCCTGTCCCCAGTGTCCAAAAGATACAGATTCCCTGCCCCGTCAGACAGCACTGCCAGCTGTTCTGTAGGGAAGGTCAGGGTCACATTAAAACGTCCATGTTGCAGCCTCAAATTCGCCGACTCAGGGATCCCAAATAACGAATCACTGATGTCAACACGGTTTCCCTGAAATGGACAAGCTTTATCAGCTGTTAACAGTTAAAACTTGGCATGTTTGACCTAGCAAATATTTCATAGAACCACAAAAATAGTGTAATTAATTGGAAAGTCAACATCACAGGCTGTCTAACAACATATGAGTGAATGAGTGAGTATGGTTTTACACCACTTTTAGCAATATTCCAGCAATATCACAGCAGGGGGACACCAGAAATGGACTTTACATATTGTAGTATTTTGTACCCATGTGGAGTATCAAACCAGGGAAGTGAATGTTTTAACCACATCCACAAATGGAAATACAACATGGATAGCATTTTAATAAGAAGGCTGTATTACTATCAGACATCATTCATGATCAAATATATATGTTTTAGCCAAAGAAGGTAACCATGGCAACAGCAGTATAAATGATAAACTTACATCAGTACCAAATGCTCTGTGAACGGCCCAGTCACTATCAACAAAGTAAACTGACAGAGGTTGCCATGGATCAGAAATCAAATGGTTGTGTACAGACAGCAGCTTTGCATGGTGATATGAGAACTGCTCATCTGTCAACTTACTGACATCAATGCCTGAAAAGAAAAGGGTTCAAAAGATGCAAAGATCAACATGTCAAATTTAAGAGGGCATGATCACAAATCACCACGATTGCTATGATCACAGATGAAAATACATATATACAAGAGTTGTCATGATCGTGGTCATAATCATATAACCATCATAATAACACTTTTAACATGAATACCATGAATAAATGCTCAGATTTCTATAAGAATGTTAAGTAACTCTTACTATACGTAAGTACTCAATATAGACACGTTGACAGCATTCATAAATGATTCATTTCTTAACACACAAACTGACAATTTCAGTATCGTTTCAATTATCACGGTTTTGCGTATCGAAGAAACTTACCATAACCAATCTGCTTAACAATTACAGGCAGTGCATCAAATGACAACTTGTATCCATCAAAATATGGATTGATCAAAATCTTTTTAAAATGCAACACATGAAATGACTCCACATATGCCATGATGCTAACTATTCGCGAGAGGCATTAACAAATGCTGAGGTACTGCAATCAATCCGTATATGGGTAAGCCACCTACTTCTTGATAACGACAGATATACCTTCGTCATTTCGAACACGTGTCCGAAATTACATGTCACTTTTTGTATAGAAATGATGGCGTCATTCTCAAACTCAGCAACTCCTTCCAAATGTATTTTCGTCTTGACTTTACCTTTATTTAACGTCTTGGTGTAAACTGGTAAATGATCCAGGGAAAGTTTATATCCGTCGAAATGTGGGTTTACCAGTTCTCTTTGGATACGCAAATCCCCCTGCACCGCCATGTTGTTTCTGATTAACATAAAATAGGAAATTGTTTTTACAGCGAGCAAAGAAATATAATACACACTTTCCAAAGCTTCAATAACAAATACAATTACTAACATTATAACAAAATATTTCATGGTATCATCTAGTTCTAGTATTATATACATACAGTCACTGTAACATCAAGATATGTATATTCGACATGATTAACATTTGTGCGTTCGTATCAGGAGATTATAGTTTTTGTAATAGCCCACTTCCGTTTTTATTTTTAGAAGGGGAAGTCCCTTTGGAAAGTCCCTCAACAAATAGAGCCTTTTGCAGAATGGGTTGCAACAGGCATTGAATCAAGCGTTTTCTGCACACCAAGTGTTAATTATTCGCTACATTATAGGTAAGTTTCATGTTTGTGCTGTGTATGTCTTTGCTAGGGTGTTAAGATTCAGACGAAATCCAGCAGTTGAGACATCTGCCCAACAGACAACCAGTGGTAAACAGCGTAAACGGATAGAGTATTTTAGTATTCACCTAAACCCATTGACTAAAGTTGCTGCCTCTCGATCTCACAAACATAGGAGATTAAATATCTCAAGTCATAAATATATGTCCTACAGTTATATTTTGTTCTGGTCAAAAATATCAGTAGTGAAAGTACACATATGTATTGGGCTAATTTTGGATACATGGGCATTACAGGGGGATATTGCACTTTACAAGGCGCACCATTCCCCAGAAATGGCCTACTAATAATATTCTCTTTCCTCCCCTAACTCTGCATCTTAGACCAACACTTAATGTTAATCATGGTAGTATGGCAATTAAAAGGATGTAGTATGGAGAAACGGTAGACTTAAGCACATGCATCTATGGGATACTTCATCACAAGTGCAATCTCAGTAAGACTTATATAGTGTGTTCCTGGAAAAATGCAATATACTTCCTGCGGATAGTGTATTAACAGATAATTTTGAATAAAAACTCTTCTGACACCTTTTCAGCTAATTGAAATTAACATTGGCTAGGTTACATGCCAAAATAATTTTGTTTCTTATCAACAATAACGAAAGTAGATTCAGGTCAAATTTAGTTTTTTTGTTTCACTTTTTATTTGGAATTCCAAACACAAAAAGCTATTATTCACAATTGTTCTTAAGGAAATAAGGTAGTTTTACGCTGCACTCAGCAATATTCCAGCTATATGGCCTCGGTCTGTAAATGATTGAGTCTGGACCAGACAATCCAGTGATCAACGGCATGAGCATCGATCTGCGCAATTGGGAACCGATGACATGTGTCAGCTAAGTCAGAGAGCCTGACCACCCAATCCTGTTAGTCGCCTCTTACGACAAGCGTGGGTTACTGAAGATCAGTTCTAATCCAGATCTTCACAGGTTAAGGTGAGGAAGATCTGATTTGCAATATCATAAATGGCTTTGCTGCTGGTCATGAAGTGCAGCATCCTATTTGGATTGATTCTTGAAATGATGTTGATACAATGTTTCATTTTAACTTACTCACTCTTTGTGTTGATCAGTTGGTATGTCTCAATTTTAGCAGCAATGGAAAATATTCTTTTCTTGGACAGGCATTGTAAATTATATGCATCCATTTTCAAGTTGCAATTTGTATTCAGAAATAAAAAGCCTGTAATGACATTACAGAACTGTATTTTGTGAGCACCACACCCATCATGGGTGAGTTGTACTAAAGTGAGTGAGTGAGTATGGTTGTACGCCGCTTTTAGCAATATTCCAGCTATATCACAGCGGGGACACCAGAAATGGGCTTCACACATTGTACACATGTGGGGAATCAAACCCGGGTCTTTGGCGTGACGAGTGGACGCTTTTACCACTAGGCCACCCCACCGCCTTGCACAAAAGTGGTATCATCATTTAAATAAACTCCATTGTTCCTTCCTGAAGTATACGTTAGTCTCAGTATATCAGAGCGTTAAAGTCCCTATGATAAATGGATGTTTCGGTAATCATGATTATTGTTCTATTTACAGTTCAGTTTGGTGACAGACTTTCGTCATGGCTTCAAGCACCGATGTTAGTGAAATTCCAAAGATATCAGTCAAAGACATCAAGTACGATGAAACCCCCATCGGCCGGGGCGGCTATGGCTATGTATACCGTGGTGTCCATAAGGATCTCGAACTGTCGCCATCAAAACAATGATCTCTGATGGACTACTGCCTGCCAGGTAGGAAGTAGCTAGGTTGCATAAAACATGGATGTGCATTAAGACAACAGTAACACTGTTGATATAAAGGACAAGATCTTGGTCCTTTTTTACAATGTTTTAGCCAAGTGAAAACAGTAATGAAGTCAGTCTTCATGTGCATTGTGCAACTGTAGCAAATAGCCTGAAATCCATGACTAGGAAAATTCAGATTAGTCGAGTACTCACAGCTGATAATAATGTATGTTATAAAACTAAAATCTGCTTAAAATCATGCCAAGAGACAAACTTGTGTTAGTAAACTCAAAAGTAATCGGGACATACTATTGAGTTCCAGGGAATTTTAGATATTATGATGCAAGTCATCAGACAAGCTCATATGATGACTGCGAAATAATTTGCATTCTAACCTTAGGCCAGACCAATTTTATTTCTTGTTTTACGGATCCGCCTGGCATATTTTTCAAGAATAAGAATTTTTTTTTTTTTAATTTTTCCCACTCAAAAAATAAAATCCTAAAGTTTTTATTGGCCAAAAATGTAAACATACAAGAAATTTTGTTTTTGGATTGTTTTTTTGGCCCCATATACACTTCATAAATTGCCAAAAGTAACATACTTTGAGTATTTAGAAGGAATTTTACTTTGACTGGTGATTTTTGGGGGGATTTTTTTTTCCTCCTGCTTTTAGGTTTTCTGAGCACAAAAATCCGTAAAACAAGAAATAAAATTGGTCTGGCCTTAAGAATATATGCTACAATCCACATACTACTTTGACTGTTGACTTAAGTAAAAAGACATGATGCAACTCAACTCAGCTCAACTCAACTCACATACATATTTGTGAACAGGCATCAAAGAGTCTTCAAGGCTGAGGGCAAGAAGCTTTGGGAGCTGCAGCATCCCTCCATTGTGCGTCTGCTCGGCCTCATCATGGAGGAAAACAACTACTCCCTCATTCTGGAGTACATGCATTTTGGCAGTCTCACTGCTTTCCGCTCCGACTTTGTGGACCTAGACTGGTCACTGTTGGTCAGTATTATCCGTGATGTAATCAGTGGGTTGGCTTATCTGCATGAACCCGATCCACCAATCCTCCATCTTGACTTGAAGTCTGACAACATCCTTATCAACAGAAGGATCAGAGCTAAGGTAGGACTGAGCATAAAGTCATCCCTCACACTAATGCTCTTTGTGATATTGTAGATTCGGTTAAACCGCGGGGTAATCTGTGGCTCCCATTAAAAAAAACTTGTCCAGCGGTCACACATCTTCACGTTATCGGAAATAGTATGTCAACAAATCCGCTGTTGTGCTAAGGTTAATCATGTTATAAACTTGTGAAATTCAGTGCGAATTGCAATAAACAGTGTTCATCGTACATATCCTTATATTATGAAATTTTAGATGCTTAAAAATATTCTGGTTTTTCTTGAATAATCACACAGACAGAGGAACATCGTATCAGTGATCTTTATGTATTTAAAGGAGTTCTCATCTCCATTGTAATGTTTCCTGTCTTTGTGAAAGCTTGTGTATGCCTGATCATAACCATGACCTTCAAAGATTTTGTATTCCAATTTCCATAACAGATCACAGACTTTGGCCTGTCTCAATGGAAGACGATGACACGGACCATGACTAGGAACCAGGGTGGGGATGAGAAGGGGAGGAAGGGTACAGTCACCCACGTGCCCCCAGAAGTGTGGAACAACATCAACACTCCTCCCAACAAGGGATATGATGTCTACAGCTTTGGCATTGTACTGTGGGAGACAGTGGTTGGAGATAGGCCTTTTGCTAGTAAGTTCATACTCCAGCTACCCATCATACAATGGGAGACCGTTTGCCTTTGATAGTAAGTTCATATTCCAGTTCATATTCCAGCTACCCATCGTATACGATAGGAGACAGTGGTTGGAGATAGGCCTTTGTTAGTAAGTTCATATTCCAGCTAATAGTACCGATAGGAGATGATAGTAAGTTCATATTCCAGCTACCCATTGTACGATAGGAGACTGTGGTTGGAGATAGGCCTTTTTAGTAAGTTCATATTCAAATCAGATTAGGTCCAATGTTGTATCATGTATGTACTGAAAGCTTGATGATGCAGATCACATGGTTAGAGTAATGATAGCGGGGGACTATGGGTTAATCTTGTGGTTAAATCATTTGCTCATCATGAGGTGAGGTGAAATTGGGTTTAACGTCGTGCTTGAGAATATTTCGCTCATATGACGATATGCATGCGTGTGTATGTGTATGTGCGGCTGCTTGTACTAGGCCAGACTTAAGCTGGTTTTATAGTGCTAGCCCACTGAGATACCATGCCGCAGTGAAGCATGAATACCCCACTCAGACACATTATACTGACTCCGAGCCGACCAGTCCTTGTTGTACCCATTAATGCCGAGCGCCAGGCAGTGACCAACAAGTACCATATTTTAATGTCTTTTGGTATGACGTGGTCGGGGATCGTACCCGCGACCTTCCGCTCTCCGGGCGGACGCTCTAACCACTACACTCACTCAATGATAGAGGTTCCCTGACCCCTAGTTTTGTAGGTCAAGGTTAAACACTGACAGGGCTAATTTTATTGGTACAACTATCCCTGGTAGTATATTATACTGAAAAAATTGCTGGAATATACTCACTCACTCACTCACTCACTCACTCAAACTGTGACCTTCAGGAGTGAGTGACGACATCATCCCCAAGGCTGTGCTGAGCGGTCAGAGACCCGACATGACCATGATCCCTTCCCAGTGTCCTCGGGAGGTGATGGAGATGATGACCCGATGCTGGACACAACAGTCAGACAAGAGACCAACATTCGCAGGTAGAGTACACCATGTCATTTAGAAAGTGGTCAAATGTTATATTTGAGATTCCACGTTCTCAGTACCCATGAAGATCCAGGATAGAATTGATCTTCAGTAACTCATGCTTGTTGTAAGAGGTGACTAACGGGATCGGGTGGTTCACACATGTCATCGTATCCCAATTGCATAGATCAATGCACATGCTGTTGATCACTGGATTGTCTGGTCCAGACTCGATTATTTACAGACCACCATCATAGCTGGAATATTGCTGAGTGTGGTGTAAAACTAAACTCACTCTCTCATTCATGCAATATTACACTTTCTCAGTCAAGTACAGCCACCATATAGCTGGAATATTCCTGAGTGCAGTGTAGAACTAAACTCACTCACTCATTCATCCTATATTACACTTTCTCAGTCAAGTACAGCCACCATACAGCTGGAATATTCCTGAGTGTGGTGTAAAACTAAACTCACTCACTCATTCATGCTATATTTCACTTTCTCAGTCAAGTACAGCCACCATATAGCTGGAATATTCCTGAGTGTGGTGTAAAACTAAACTCACTCACTCATTCATCCAATATTACACTTTCTCAGTCAAGTACAGCCACCATATAGCTGGAATATTCCTGAGTGTGGTGTAAAACTAAACTCACTCACTCATTCATGCTATATTACACTTTCTCAGTCAAGTACGGACCACCATCATAGCTGGAATATTCCTGAGTGTGGTAAAACTAAACTCACTCACTCATTCATGCTATATTACACTTTCTCAGTCAAGTACAGCCACCATATAGCTGGAATATTCCTGAGTGTGGTGTAAAACTAAACTCACTCACTCATTCATGCTATATTACACTTTCTCAGTCAAGTACAGCCACCATATAGCTGGTATATTCCTGAGTGCAGTGTAAAACTAAACTCACTCACTCATTCATGCTATATTACACTTTCTCAGTCAAGTACAGCCACCATATAGCTGGAATATTCCTGAGTGTGGTGTAAAACTAAACTCACTCACTCATTCATGCTATATTACACTTTCTCAGTCAAGTACAGCCACCATATAGCTGGAATATTCCTGAGTGTGGTGTAGAACTAAACTCACTCACTCATTCATGCTATATTACACTTTCTCAGTCAAGTACAGCCACCATATAGCTGGAATATTCCTGAGTGTGGTGTAAAACTAAACTCACTCACTCATTCATGCTATATTACACTTTCTCAGTCAAGTACAGCCACCATATAGCTGGAATATTCCTGAGTGTGGTGTAAAACTAAACTCACTCACTCATTCATGCTATATTACACTTTCTCAGTCAAGTACAGCCACCATATAGCTGGAATATTCCTGAGTGTGGTGTAAAACTAAACTCACTCACTCATTCATGCTATATTACACTTTCTCAGTCAAGTACAGCCACCATATAGCTGGAATATTCCTGAGTGTGGTGTAAAACTAAACTCACTCACTCATTCATGCTATATTACACTTTCTCAGTCAAGTACAGCCACCATATAGCTGGAATATTCCTGAGTGTGGTGTAAAACTAAACTCACTCACTCATTCATGCTATATTACACTTTCTCAGTCAAGTACAGCCACCATATAGCTGGTATATTCCCTGAGTGTGGTGTAAAACTAAACTCACTCACTCATTCATGCTATATTACACTTTCTCAGTCAAGTACAGCCACCATATAGCTGGAATATTCCTGAGTGTGGTGTAAAACTAAACTCACTCACTCATTCATGCTATATTACACTTTCTCAGTCAAGTACAGCCACCATATAGCTGGAATATTCCTGAGTGTGGTGTAGAACTAAACTCACTCACTCATTCATGCTATATTACACTTTCTCAGTCAAGTACAGCCACCACATAGCTGGAATATTCCTGAGTGTGGTGTAAAACTAAACTCACTCACTCATTCATCCTATATTACACTTTCTCAGTCAAGTACAGCCACCATATAGCTGGAATATTTCCTGAGTGCGGTGTAGAACAACAAACAAACAGTAAGGTTGAAATTCTGGTGCTTTTGTTGGGTTGCGTCCCATTCGTGATTCGAACCCACACTTGCAGAGTCAGGAACCTAATCGCCAGCACACTGCAGTGGTTGAGTGGGTTAGATGCCTGACTTTGTGAATAGGTGCCTGACTCTCAGAGTGTGGGTTCAAATCCCGGATGGGACTCAACCCAAGAAAAGTACTAGAATCTGTACTTTTCTGAGAAAGTGGAATCCCAAATATAAAGTGTTAATTTGCAGGTAGTACTTCCATCCAAGAGCCTGGGATAAATAGCTGCACAATTCAGATTAACCACTCCTCATATCTCTCTTCTTATAATTACTAAAGTTTGCTTTCTTCAATATTTGACTCCAGAGAAGTTTTAGTAGGTCAAGAATATATTTTACATGATATGATTTGTTGTATTTTACATACCCCGGTAACAAATGTAGATTTATAGGTAAACTCGGTCACTTTTGATATGTAACATTCACAACAGATACCGTTGCGGAATATTTAATACGTCTCATTGAAACAGCAAAGATTAGAAGAGAATAATCATTAATGGAGAGAAATAGTTTTATCTCCCAGTCCATATGTTTAGATTTCAGATCAGTTTTGTCTTTGTATCTGTTTATACAATACATGAATCTAATATATTTTCTTATCCTTCCAGAAATGAAAGTGGAGATTGATTCTTTGTTTGAGAAGCTCGCACCTGCAGTGCCAGAGGCCTTAGGGAAACTGGAGAAGGAGATTGCAAAGCTATATGTGAGAGAAAGAAACTCATTAATGATATAAGTGATACATATCTTTTATCTACCCTCAAACATTGCATTGTAAGGGACCGTTCCTAGGGGGGTGATGAAGATTTTTTTGTTTTTTTTTTGATTTTTGATTTTTTTATTTATTGATTTTGATTTTGATTTTTGATTTTATTTATTTATTTATTTTATTTATTATTGTTGGTTTTTGTTTGTTTGTTGTTGTTGTTTTGTTTTGTGTTTTGTTTGTTGTTTTTTTTTTTTGGGGGTCTGGGGAGCTAGGGGGTCAGCATTTTTGTACACATGTACTAGGGGGTCAGCAATTTTGTACATAAAAATAAGTTTAAAATTATGCTTAGAAATTATGGGGAGGGGGGTCATTGATTTTGTACATGACAAGCAGGGGGGTATTGTATTTTGTACATACATTTTAAGGGGGGTGTCATTCACATTGTACATGCTTCTCCATAAAAATCATCATCACACCCCCAACCCACCCCAGCCATAAATTATAAACGGTCCCTAATAGGTTACAGAAGTCATTCATAATACTATCTGGCCTTTATAGAACCCAGCAGTGGTGGAAATAACTTTAAAATTGCTAGTGTACTCCGGTACAGTGGCACATGTAAAATCACTTGCCCGGATAAGTTTTCCACTATACCGTCCTTTTTCTTGTTGATTTTTTATACAAACAACATAATTAACATTGGAAAGTCAACTGGACACCGGTACAGCGTGATATACAAATTTGCTTGCCCGACAGAAAAAAACGTTGGACTCAGATGTCAGGCAATGGGTTATTTCCACCCCTGCCCAGTCGTTTTGCATAAGCTGTAAGGGAACATACCATCCTTTCAAAATCAAACTGTATTTCTTTCTATCCAGGATGCTGAAGATCTTGGAGGTGATACTGCAGCTACCGCTGATTCTGAGAGTATTTTTGATGCAGCAACCAAACTCACTAAGCCACTGACCGACCTCTCCACCACAAGTCCTAAGAGTGTTGAAATGGAGGACATAGGTGAAGAAGAGGATATCCCTCAAACCACAGGACCTCCTGTTCCTAAGGGACAGAGTCAGGCCATTGTAGGACTACAGGATGAAGAAGCTCCTGGGCCTAGTCGAGGTGCATCCACAACTGCTGCCTCATCCTCAACATCTAAAGCATCTACATCATCTAAAGCATCTACATCATCTACAGCATCTACAGCATCTACAGCATCTGCGGCATCTCCAGCAAAAGCTGGCTCTGCTGGATCTTCATCACAAGCCAAGCCTAACACGCAGAAAGGGTCAACTGCAGCTAAAGCAGCAGCAACAACAGCCACAACAACAACAACAACAACAGCTAAGGCAACATCATCTACAGCAACATCTAGGTCCTCAGCATCAGGAACTACCACTGCACCAGCAACAGCTACACCAGCACCTTTTGAGATGACTGAAGAACGGGAGAAAGCCCTTCGACGTGTACTTCGGGATCCGGTAGGGATGCTTCTCTTGCACAAGGATGCTCAGCTTTGTAAAAAGGTGTTTGGAGTTGACCTGGAGCTGCAGAAGAAGATTAAAGACCCCAAGGAGCTGTTGAAGCTTATGGAAAAGGATCCATTCCTCAGGATGGAACTGAAGAGGAAAGGAGCAGAACATGTAGGTTGGCTGTTCTTTCCCCACAGGATGAAGGATGAAATCAGGAGAAAGAGGCCAAACCGGACTCCAAAACCAGATGCAGTGGAAAGAATGAGGAGATTGAAAGAGGAACGACAGAAGAGAGAGAACAAGGATCCTAAGATGGACTTTGACCGTAGAGAAAAGAAGAGTCTAGCATCTGGGTTCCTTGGACTGTTTAAGAAGGAGAAGCACAAGAAGATGGCTAAGGATCCTATGTCCCGATACAGGGATCATGAAGAAGATGCATATAGAGACATGATGGCTATGCGGATGAGTATGGGAGCAGACAGTTTGACTCCTGATATGAGTTACAAACTCAAGAGAGCACTTCGAGATCCTCAGATGATCAGGTTGGCATAGTTTCTGTTATAATTAGCATTAGGGAGACCATGTGTATGAATTACTTGACAGACCTAGTGTGCAAAATAGCCACTGGCCCACTAGCCCGTGGCTAGTAAAAATCCAGTTGGGCCAGTAAATCCCCACAGTCACTGGCCCGACTGACTAGTGAATTATTCTGTAGGCCAGTAACTTTCAGGCATAGCTAGCCTGACTGGTTTGCAAAATTTGGAAAAATATTTCGCACACTGGACAGACCTACTTGTTACTTTTTTGTCTATTTTATCACATAAACATTTGGACCATGTTTGTCTTCTGCTTCCTTCATCAGAAACTCAATCTGCGGGAAAAAGGATGGTATAGTTTTCTCAACCGCAAAACTAACACACACCCCACCCCTTCAGTAAGTACAAACTGTGAGAAATGTGTGTGTTCCAGATATCTCCTTCGTGAAGAGACACCCCCCAGGATCAATCCGGTGGATCGAGAGGTGATGGACATAATCCGAGATCCTGAAAAGTTGCTTCTATACATGAAGCAGGAACCAGTGCTGCTGGAAATCCTTCAAGCCACAGACAAGGGGGCTTTGATGAAGCTTGTAGCTCGGTCAGGCGGACCTCAGTCTTATCGCATGCGCCACATGAGAGGACCAAGGAGGTAGGAATGACTGCTGGCACTTCGGAAATTGGAGTAAGGCTGATGGGGGCAGGGCATAGCCTTCTACGATTTCCCACATGGGTACATTGTGTGGAGGCCATTTCTTGTGTCCCTCGCCATGATGTTTCTTGAATATTGCTAAAAGCATTGTAAAACTCACTCACTGACTCACTCACTCACTCACTCACTCACTCACTCACTCACTCACTCACTCACTCACTCACTCACTCATTCACTCACTCACTGCTTACTTATGTTAGCTATACAGTTACGGTTATAATCATGCCATAAGCTCTGAAATATAAGAACATCAAACCCTCATTTTAGAAAATTGATACAAGTTGCATGCAACTGTGCTACTGCCTGTTTTAGCAGGGTTTACTAAGTGTGCCATGGTACTGGGTACTTTTCTAACTGTACTAAGGCAGTTTTAGGTTGTCCCATCCACTGAAATACAAGTAATCCTACTGTCAAGTGAAGCACTCTTGCAACCCAGCTGCTGCCTCTGTTTCAGCCGGATGCCGGGGATGTACCCAGGGCTGGAGCAGGACATGATGGATATGGACCTGGAGGACGAGATGAGGATGTACGGGTACTCAGGCAGATATGAACACAACAGGCAGACAATGCAACTCAGTAAGTCTGACTCAGTCCCTGTTCAGTTATAGGAAGTTTTTGTTTACTGTTTCAAGTCACTCCAAACAGCTTTCCCAACCGTGAAGATCCGGGGTAGAATAGGTATTCAGCAACCCATGTTTGCCACAAAACGGCGACTATGCTTGTTGTAAGAGGTGACTAACGGGATTGGGTGGTCAGGCTCGCTGACTTGGTTGACACATGTCATCAGTTCCCAATTGCGCAGATCGATGCTCATGCTGTTGATCACTGGATTGTCTGGTCCAGACTCGATTATTTACAGACTGCCACCATATAGCTGGAATATTGCTGAGTGCGGCGTAAAACTAAACTCACTCACTCTCTCACCCCGAACAGCTTTCCAGGTATAGGATGGTGTCTGTAAAGATCTTGTACAGTAGAAACATACTGTTATAGGCATCATGGTCATTGATCTACTCTTTCCGGACACAATGGCATGCCTCAAGCTAGCTAGCAAGTTTGACCACCAACATTGACCACCTAATCCAGACAATGCCAGTTAACAATGCATCAGACTAGGCAATACCGACTACCTAATCCTCTGGTCAACTCAGCAGGGGGTGCTCAAAACCATTTCTTACCTGGATCTTCACAGAGGTCCAGTTTAGTGGCAGCATGCATTAATTCCTTATCCTGACTCATGCTTATTGCTTGTCTTCTTCTTCTTGCGAACATAGTGGAACACGTGTATCTCCCAATTGAAGTTCCTTCAATTAAAAATCACTAATTAGTACTCACCACGAGTTACCTCCCTTCCACAAGCGCGGGAGCGAGGGCGAGCCACCCTGAACCCATGTGCCTCACTCTCTCCTTCTTCGCCCAGTGAGCTGGACGTGAGAGCGCCTGTGTCTCCCAACACACTATATCCTTTATTTATATTTAGTTTAGTACCTCTTATATTCAGTTATAGAGGTGTAACTAGTATCCTTATTCAACTTGCATTGATTATTAGTCGTGTTTCTGCTGTTTTATTCACGGTTAGCGTGTTTGTTCAGCAGTTTACGTTAATGAGAATCTGCACAGGTTGTAAACTACGTTATTCAGCTACCGATCCACATTTAAAATGCCCTAGTTGCATTACTCCATGTTCTATTGTTTCTCGTTGTAAATTATGTATTAATTTACCAATTTCTGCCTTTGATAAATATTTATGTTCCGTTTTGAGGCGGAAGGCAGATAAATCTATAAACAATCTTCAGTCATGGCTAATAGATCGGAAGCTATTATACCCTGTCAACTGTTGACTGGCGACCGCCACCCGGCTGGTGGCATGCGGAGTTTCCCTCGGGGGATAAGCGTGGGGCGCTTGATCCGCTATGTCAAGCGACCTGCATCTCAAGACATTCCGTCTTCACAGTCTAAGACTAGGAAAGCGTCCACATCATCTCAGCGTGCGCTTGAACCCCCAGGTCCACAGCCGTCAAAGGGAAATCTCTGAAAACTACAAATAATTTTGCCTCCGATATTCTACCTGTCTCAGAATTATGTTTATATGATGATGACATTCCGATTATCATTCAGATGTGCGTCATAAGAAGCGTCCAGTATCTGCTACCGTCACTACAAGCGCAGATCAACCGCAACCAGAGATGCCTACAGCTGGCCTGAGTTTATGATTGAGGGTCCGTCACTTTCACAGAGAGGCCACCCTCAACGCCAGCGCAGACTGTCCCAGACGACCTGGTTAACCAAATCATGAGACTGATGGAGGACCGTTACGGTTTACAGAGGCCCCAGAGCCACGGGCCCCAGAGCCCAACCCTTAATAAGTCATACAGGGCCCCAGAGCCCGCCTTGGCTTCGCGTAGGGCCCCAGAGCCCACAAACGCGCCTCCGCGAAGGGCAACCCAGCCCGTAGCGATCACTTCGCAAAGGAAGTCCCAGGCCGCCTCCGCGAAGGAGCTAGAGCCTATCCAGTTGCGAGGGACATCGCGGAGAAGGCGCGCTTCGCCGAGCCCACACCCTGTAGAACACAGAGGTCGTTCGCGAAGCAAACGCTCATATGTCGATTCGGACACTGACTCGATACATTCGCGAAGGTCGCGAAGGCTAAGTGGCTCCATATCTACCTCGCCCAGAAGATTTAGAAGAGCTTCGCGAAGTCCCCAGCGTTCGCCGAGGATGTCTCCTCCAAGGTCTCCTTACACTAGCCACTCGTCAGTCCGTTCACCACAGTCCTCTCATAGATCTTCCTACAGATCTAGGACTCCGACATGTGACCCTACATCAGAGGAAGAAGGTATCATTTTCTCAGATGCTGAGATCAGATACTGGATGGTGAATGAGTTACAACTTGCTTCCCCATCGAAGAGCGAGAATTCAACTCAGACTTACCTGATGAAGGATGATGATGTAGACAATATCACCTTACCTCCTATTGATCCGATTGCAGCGGTACCAGCTAATTTGGATACAGCCTGTTCCAAATCTTCAAAGTCAATCTACACATTTCCGGTCTTCAATGCCAAGAAATTTGCTGGACACAATATGGACCCTTTTCAAGGCCCAGGATATTGATGACAACTTTAAATTAATCAGCGATGCCAAGTCCAGAAGTTACAAAGTAGGCGATCATAAAATTAAGCTCAACTAGATACCATCGCCAGGAGGATGTTCTTTGGATTGAATAGATCTAGAGCGATTAATGAAACTCTCATCACCAAGTTCAAGAATTCTACAGAGGAGGAAGATAGAATGATCTACTCAGCTCTACTCATGCAGAAAAGAGACCACCAATTTCTTACAGAGCACCTATCAGCTTACTGAAACTACTACCATGGCTGCGTCGGCAAGGCTTACTAGCCTCCTGCTCTTGGGATAAGCAATTTACAGAATCTCTATACACAGCTCCATGGTCATAAGCCCTTACTGTTTGGTGGCAACATAGACAAGGTCTCCAAAGAAGTATCTAAAGACTCAAGAGAGGTTCTTATGATCAGATCCATGGATACCTTAGCGAGCGTCATTAAACAGTCAACACAGAGATACTCGGGCAAGTCTAAGTTTTGGGGCTACAGAAAGCGCGGGACAAGAAATTAGCTGCAGCTAAAGATCCCAAGGATTCTTTTAAATTAAGCCCATACAACAAATTTAGGGGAGGATCAGCTAGAGGCAGATCATCCAGAGGTGCCGATGGATTTAGGCGATGAAATTCAGGTTGGACGACTGGAGTCTTCCACCCCAGCCGTTCCAGTACAACCGTCTCAAGTGGGTGGGCGCCTTCAGCTACACTGGGAAAACTGGGGAATACTACAAGATCCATATGTATCCAACATCCTACAACACACGGATATCTAATACAACTCAAGGCCAAGCCTCCGTTAACAGTCAACCCCCAGGGTTCAGCGTTCAACCGGCACAACTACCTATGTTAAGAGAAACAGTACTTACTCTACTAAACAAACAGGCCTTAGAAGTTCTGGATCAGCGAAACATCGTACCAGGTTTCTACTCCCCAGTTTTCCTAGTGCGAAGAAAAATTCCAAGGAGAAGTTTAGGTCTCATATACAACATGAGCATCTTCAACAGAGAATATCTATGCAAACCTCCAGCGTTTAGCATGATACACTTACATAACCGGCATTTAATTAGTCCCAAAGATTACATGGCCAGCATAGATTTGCAAGGCATATCTACACATTCGATTCATCCCAACTCAAGGAAATATCTAAGATTTATCCTAGGCGGGAAACATTACCAATGGAAGGTTCTTCCCTTGAGAATCACATCGGCCCTTGGGTATTCACAAGAGTGACCAAGCCTATTGTCTCATACCTACATCGTCAAGGTCTTAGCATGGCGCTTTTACCTAGGCGGCGGTATACAAGTGGATCCAGATCCACAGCGTCTCGAACTACAGCTGAACTTTATAATCAAGCTACTAACACAATTAGGATGGTTAGTAAATCTACTCAAGTCGGACCTAGAACCAGCATAAAGATCTGCAATTTCTAGGTATCACGATTTCTAACAGCTCAGAATCGTATTGTAGTCCCGGAGGACAGATGGATCAAGATCAACAACTTATTCCTCAAGCCCTACTCTCTCCGTTACCACTCGACAGTGGCAGAGCCTATTGGGACTACTCACATCAGCTCAAGACTTGACAGTCAGAGGCAGGCTTCAATTCGTCCGTTACAAGTCCTCATCAATGCTCATCTCGAGGACCCTCTACCATTCAGTCTACCAGATTATGTCAAACCACATCTACTCTGGTGGACCAAGAGATTGAATGTTTGCGCGAAGCGTCTCCTTAGTAGAGCGAGGAATCGAACACACATCTCTCGTGAGGCAGCGTCACTACAAGGTTGGGGAGCCCACCTTGCTGGCAGGACAGCGTCAGGCCTATGGAGCAATCAAGAGAGCAAATGTCACATAAATCTGCTAGAGATGCAAGCAGTCATAAGCGCCATAAGTCACTGGAGCAACATACTACAGAGCGGCTCAGTTGATGGTTCACACAGACAATTCAACAGTGGCGTTTTATGTGAACAAACAAGGTTCAACAAGGTCACAGAACCTACTGACTTCGATGTTTCAGACTGTTGATTTAATCGACAATCTAAACATACCGTCAGAGCTTGCCACATTCAGGAGCAAAGAATGTATTAGCAGGCGGCTCTCTCTCGGCCACACCAACCGTCGCCCGACAGAATGGATGCTCCACACAGAGATATTCAATCAAATAATCATGGAAATAGGATCTCCACTGATAGACCTATTAAGCCACTTTCGATTCAACAAGCAACTGACAACATTAGTTATGCCCCAGTGCCAGACCCACTAGCATGGGCAGCGGGCGCTCTAAGCATATCGTGGGAGAGACTCAGCGGCGTGCGGCTTTCCGCCTCAGCGTTGATCCCACAAGTCTTACAGAAAATCAGTCAAGCGCCAGAGCCTCCATCTGATTTTGGTTAAGCCCTACTGGCCAGCAAGAACTTGGTTTCCAGATCTCATTCAAGTAATGGGAAAACCAATTCTTCAGCTCCCTAGCAGCCAATCTATTGATACATCCGCACACCAAACAAGTGCGAAACACCAGAAGCATTCCAACTTCGCATATGGATTGTATCAAGGCATGTCTGAATAAGAGGTTATTCTGCCAGGCGGCTAAAGCGGTCAGCTTGCACTCATAACTCAACTCGTAACATGCGATGACAAATGGCACAGTTTTGTCAATTCGGCTGCTAAGAAAGGATTTACAGCCAGATATGCTACACATCCTCAAGTGGCAGATTTCTTATGTTATCTCGGCAAACTAAGAATCTAAAGGCTCAACCTTGTCCACTTATCTTGCAGCCATAAGTTCTGTCATAACTATGCGAGCGAGCGTCAAGTTAACAAAAACACCAGAGTTACTTTCGCTTTGTTCTGGCGTTCGATTGGAGGATCAGAAGCGGAAGTTTCAAGCTCCAGCCTGGGATCTAAATATAGTGCTCCAACACCTCACTAGTGAGGGCTTATGAACCATTGCTATCTACATCGTTTGAATCACTGACCCACAAAACCTTATTCCTGTTAGCACTAGCTACGGCGGCCGCCAGGATGTCAGAGATTCACGCTTTGGATTCTGAGAGAATGCGGCTTTGATGATATTCATAACATGGCTCATCTGGGACTTAAGCTGGGATTTTATAGCGAAAAACCAACTGCCAGGTCAACCAGACAGATTATTCCCGTCCCAGCTCTCTCATCCATGCTTGGACCGCATGATCACGATGGATCTATCACTATGCCCAGTGAGGGCACTGAAAATATATCTCCAACGATCCAAACAGAGCAGAGGGAAATTCAAGAGATTATTTATCCCTATATCTACAGCTCATGAGCGGAAGTCTCACGTACTCGATCTCTATCTGGATCAGAACTGTCATACTACGTGCCTACAAGGCTGCAGGACTCGACCCTCCAAGAGCTTCTAATCCTCCGAAATTAGAGCGCTAGCCTCAACTCTCGCTCTACATGGGAATTGCTCGTTGAATACCATAATGGAGGGATGTTTCTGGAGATCCGATATGGTGTTTGCCAACCACTATCTGAGAGATATCACCACCGAGGACGTCTCAGGTATCCACCATTTCGGTCCCATGGTCCTCGCTCAACAGTTGACAGTTCCACGGAGAAGATAAGTCTATCTTACAGATTTTATACTTATCTGATAACAGTACTAATAGCTACATGCTATCTATATATTTTGCTTAAGTTTAATTTATTATCTTAAGCTCAGTACTATGGTTTTATATCATACTATATATAAGCTTACAACTCCTAGGAGTTTTGCTACTATATATATATGTTCAGCTTAAGTTTCATCAATCCTTAAAGCTCAGTCATATGGTCATATGCATAAATGTATTAGCTAACAAACTCTAAGGAGTTGGTTACTATTATACAGCAAAGTTATAATTATATCTTAAGCACAGTACTATACTATTATAGCTTAAATATATGCATATCTTAAGCTTAATACTTTGGTTAATTTATAAAAGTATCCACTATAAACTCACAGAAGTTTATATTATCACATTAATAGCTTCAGCTTACATTAATGTTGTATATACTTTATCATATTCAATAAATTGTAATAACCTTTATATGGCAGCTGATAAGTTAAACAGCAGGAATTCATCAGTTCAGTGCCTTTATGAAGTTCCCATAGGGTTATTACAATCATCACAGTTCAAATCACTAATTATTAAAATCCAAAGTATATATATTCCCACCTCCTTTTCCGTCAGTTCTACAAGCAATAAGCATGAGTCAGGATAAGGAAAAATATGAAATTTTAGAGTAAAATTAATATTTTATACTTATCCTGACTCATGAATAAACCCTCCGTCCTCCCCACTTAACACTTTGGATTTCTTGAGGAAAATAAAAGTGTCGGACTCGAAACAAAAGGAGAGTGAGGCACATGGGTTCAGGTGGCCCTCGTTCAGCTTGTGGAAGGGAGGTAACTTCGTGGTGAGTACTAATTAGTGATTTTTTAATTGAAGGGAACTTCAATTGGGAGATACAAGTGTTCCACTATGTTAGCAAGAAGAAGAAGACAAGCAATAAGCATGAGTCAGGATAAGTATAAAATATTAATTTTACTCTAAAAATTTCATTTTGGTACTTCCGTGGTGGTAATTCTTTATCTCGAATGATATTGAATAACGTATGATTTATCGAAATTACCAATGTTTTGCGAATGAAAATTAACATAAGGGAGATAACTCTAAATCTGTTTTTCTTGTCAGCAAAATCTTGCGATGGCTACAAAAAGATTTGTACCAGTGCTTCAAACAATTCAAAATTAACATTAAGGTGTTTGGTAAGACAAATACGTTGTTCACTGGTCCCTCAGGGCCCATGGGTTGATGTACCCTAGCTCTATGTTTGTTTATGTTCCCCTCACCCTTCGGTCTCAGGGAACATAAACAAACATCGAGGGTACATCAACCCAATTCCAGTGACCAGTGAACAACTTATAGTATTACCCTCAAGACAACTACAACTTATAGTAGTATGAGCTGTTAATTCAGTTATTGTTGTCCCTGACCTTTATAAGGTTACACTTATACTGTGAAATCTCAGCACATCAGCATACATGATGTACATGCTCATACTCCCTCTCTCTTACATTTTAATTAATATTTTCTCAAAGTATCAGATGACTCCCATCTTCATGCATAATTTTCTTCTTTCTGCAGTGGACATGTTGAGGAAACCAGGGCTCCCGGGTTCTATCTATGACTCTTCCTCATCATCAAGACCCAGCACTGTGTCCAGACCCCCGAACAACTCATCAGCTTCAGCCTCTGCAGCCAGCAACACCGCTGCCACCAACACTGTGTCCAAACCCCCAAGCAACTCACAAGCTTCAGTCTCCATAGCCACTAGTTCCAACACTTCTACCAGCAGCACCGCTGCCACCAACACTGGCCCAAACAAAGACACCACTACCGCCACTTCTAACACCACGGCCGCCACCAAAGATCCCGGACCTGGATCTAAAGATCCAAGTGCCACCAAAGCAGGAACAATAACTTTGAAATCCTCAGCAACAGAGAGCAACGCTGGTTCTAAGTCTGCAGCCACCAACATCTCCCAGACTGCAGGGTCAGCAGTGGGTGCTGCTGCTGTAGGTGTTAATGCAGGTGTTGCTGCTGTAGGTGTTAATGCAGGTGTTGCTGGTGTAGGTGTTAATGCAGGTGTTGCTGGTGACAAAAAGCCGAAGCCCGAAGCCCCAGGAACCTGAGAGGGTAAGTCACTGATGGAGATAATGGTTTAATTTCCCAATATCAGTTATGTTGGTTGGCTGGTTTGTTGTTTAACGCCGCACTAAGCAATATTCCAGCTATGTGCAGGCGGTCTGTAACTTATTGAGTCTGGTGCAGACAATCCAGTGATCAACATCACGAGCATCAATCTACGCAATTTGGATACTATGACATGAATCAGCCAAGTCAGCGAACCTGACCACTCGATCCTGTCAGTCACCTCCTACGACAAGCATGGATTGCTAAAGACCAATTCTAACCCCGATTTTCATGGGTACTATCAGTTATGGAGATAAAAAACAAACATTGCATAACACAAATTCAAAATAACCATTCATTCCATAGTCTGTTTGATTGGCCTTCTAGAAGTTGATGAGTGATAAGAGAGGTAGGATCCTTCATAGATGACATCTTCTGTATCATATTAGGATGTGACGATTCCTTACAGACTCTTAGACTGTTGTCAAGCAAGAGTGATGTACTACGGCATAGAAAAGACTTAATTACACCTAACAGGAATTAATAAAAACATCATGATAATGTGCATGAAAGTGATTATCAATAACAACAATGAAGTGAGTGAGTGAGTTTCATTTTACGCCACTTTTAGCAATATTCCAGCAATATCATGGCTGGAGAAATCAGAAATAGCCTTCACACATTGTACCCTTGTGAGGAATCGAACCAGGGTCATCGACGTGATGAGCTAATGCCTTAACTACTAGGCTACCTCACCACCCCAACAACAATGGCTATTGGTAATTAATGCAGTATCTTGAGGAATCCAACTGTACTTGAGGTGGGACAAAATATACCCAGCTGATAAGAGTGATTAACTGGAGAGCTCTTGAGTTTTATCAGTTCATCATTGCCAGATTGTTTGATATATCTTTGGCCTGTTGACTGAGGGCTTGTGTCCGCAGATTGGAACTGCTTCTGCCAAAGAATTTGCTGGAAGGTTTTTTTGAGCACAAGCAGTTCAAATCAACTGACACAAGATATGGTACATCTTCGATTACTTCATGTTGTTTTATCTCTCTTTTTCATACAGCGTGAGATCCAGGGTTTACCAGATGACCATCTTGTGAAACGGCAGGAGAATATCAAGATGCCTGTGCAGAGGCACACAGACACTGAACCGTATGTATGCACAGACACACAGACACTGAACTTAACACAGACACACAGACACTTAACACAGACACTTAACTAAACACAGACACACAGACACTTAACTAAACACAGACACTTAACTTAACACAGACACTTAACTAAACACAGACACACAGACACTGAACTACACACAGACACTTAACTTAACACAGATACTTAACTAAACACAGACACTTAACTTAACACAGACACACAAACACTAAACTTCACACAGACACTGAACCGTATGTATGCACAGACACACAGACACTTAACTAGAAACAGACACAGACACTTAACTTCACACAGACACTGAACCATATGTATGCTCAGACACACAGACACTTAACTAAACACAGACACTTAACTAAAAACAGACATTTAACTAAAAACAGACACACAGACACTGAACTAAACACAGACACTTAACACAGATACTTATCTAAACACAGACACTTAACTTAACACAGACACTGAACTAAACACAGACACTTAGCTAAAAACAGACACTTAACTTAACACAGACACACAGACATTAAACAAAAAACAGACACTGAACTAAACACAGACATGCAGACACTAACTAAAAACAGACACTTAACTTAACACAGACACTTAACTAAACACAGACACTTAACTAAAAACAGACACTTAACTTCACACAGACACTGAACCATATGTACACACAGACACTTAACTTAACACAGACGCTTGACTAAAAACAGACACTTAACTTAACACAGACACTGAACTAAACACAGACACTGAACTAAACACAGACACTTAACTTAACAAAGATACTTAACTAAACACAGACACTTAACTTAAAACAGACACTTAACTAAACACAGACACTTAACTTAACACAGACACTTAACTAAACACAGACACTGAACCGTATGTATGCACAGACACACAGACACTTAACTAAAAACAGACACACAGACACTTAACTAAAAACATACACTTAACTTAACACAGACACACAGACACTGAACTAAACACAGACACTGAACTAAACACATACACTTAACTAAAAACAGACACTAAACTTAACACAGACACTTAACTAAACACAGACACTTAACTAAACACAGACACTTAACTAAACACAGACACTAAACTAAAAACAGACACATTGACACTGAACTAAACACAGACACTGAACTAAACACAGACACACAGACACTTAACTAAAAACAGACACTTAACTTAACACACACTGAACTAAACACTGACACACTGACACTTTAATTAACACGGACACTTAACATAACACAGACACTGAACCCTATGTATAAACAGAAGATCACGAATAATTAGCAAGTTATTTTGAAACATTTTGGGTTGATAGTCATTAAAGGAAACACAAAGTCAGGTCACAGGAGGCCTCAAATTGCCCTCATCTCACTCTTATATTTGTGGATCCAGACATCTAGAAACTGTTACCTTGCAAATCATCTTTAACCAGGTGGGCAGTAAATTAGCAACTGGAAATATAAACTCACAGCAGGACTCTCCACACAAAGGTAACAAGCACTGTAATAGAGTTTCGACTGTAAACAACTAAGGGAGGTCACTCTGTTTTATGATCTGCCACTAACAATCAGTGAAATATACTTACACTAAACATACTCTGATGGCATACTATGCAATACTGCAAGCCAGCCTTCATGCAATCATATTTGTGGAAACTGACTAATTGAGAAGTTCCCTTCCCTTCCATCAATAGGGGTTGAATGGCTAATGGCTGCATTTTGCTTTGACAAGTTGAGTCCGTTGGGCATGCCGGAAACCAATGATCATAATTCAAATCCTGCTTCCCCCTGATTTTGTTTCTAGGTTTGATAGCGTCAAACCATGCTTCCCTTTCTCTGTGGGGCTGTGGGGTAGCCCAATGGTTAAGGTGTTGGCTCGTCACGCTGAAGACCCGGGTTCGATTCCCCACATGGGTACAATGCGTGAAGCCCATTTCTGGTGACCCCAGCCGTGATATTGCTGGAATATTGCTAAAAGCGGCGTAAACCTATACTCACTCACTCCTTGCTCTGGAGTTGTAAACGTCTAAGAACTGCATCATTTCGGCCTCTGTCAAGTTGACATGCAATGTACCCGAAAACTTCCAAATGGAGTTCAATGCAAATGCTAATATTGTTCTATTCAGTCTTCTTGAAATGAGCTAATGTTAAGTTACATAGATTGTGAAATAATGTGCTTTTCAGTGTTATTTCTGTATGTGATTGCAGATTACAGACAGCGTTTGGTTTTGCGAAAGGCTTCCTCAATCAACCAGGTAAATCTACTTTTTCCTTCCAGCTAATGTAAGGTATTCATCACTGTATGATCCATCCTCGATAATCTCCAGGGTATACGTTACGATCACTCTCCACTATACCCTGGATGCACCCACGGCTTGGGGTGTTGATTTTATTACCTCCCTTGGATAAAAAGCCAGCCAAGGGAGGTAATAAAATCATCGTCCCAAGCCGTGGATACTTCCAGGGTATAGTGGAGAGTGATCGTAATGTATACCGTGGAGATAATCGAGGATGTGTATGAGCTCGCTCTGTCATACTGATTTGAAAAGCCTTAATAACATTGGTTATTCATGCAGCACATTACTTATTTCAAGCTTGGTGAGGGTGGTAGGGTAGCTTACTGGTTAAAGCCTTCGCTCGTCCACACATGGGTACAATGTGTGAAGCCCTTTTCTGGTGTCCCCCACCTTGATATTGCTGCAGTATTGCTACAAATAGTTAAGACTAAACTCACTCACTCACTCACTCACTCAAGCTTGGTAAAAACTACATGTTGGACGAACTGAGGATTATTTTGAAACTTTAAATGAACAGACATTGCTGAAAGCTTAAATGTTGTAAGTCAGGGGTAGACTGTAGTAACGACATTTCCATATTTTCCGTTTTTCATCGAAAGATTCTAAAACACTTACCTAAACACCCAGGTGCATCAAGTGAAAGCAATAGTCAGGCTGCAAGTTCAAGCAAAAGTACTGCCACAACAACCTCAGGTCAAGGTCAAACACCTACAACACAAAGTCAAGCATCGGGGGCGACACAGAATTCTTCTGCAGGTCAAGGTCAAAGTTCAAGCCAAGGTCAGAGTAGTGCAGGTCAAGGTCAGCAAGCAGGCTCAGCTCCAACGTCTGGAGCACAACCAGGTAAAGGTACAACATCTGGAGCACAAGCAGGTAGAGGTACAACGTCTGGAGCACAACCTGGTGGAGGTACAACATCTGGTGCACAACCTGGTAGAGGTACAACGTCAGGTGCACAACCTGGTAGAGGTACAACATCTGGAGCACAACCTGGTAGAGGTACAACATCAGGTGCACAACCTGGTAGAGGTACAACATCTGGAGCACGACCTGGTAGAAGTACAACATCTGAAACACAATACCAGTTTCAGGTACTGAAAAGACACATTTCCTCTCTTCATACATATTCTGTATTCAAATATACCAAGTAAAGTTTTCGATGACCTGAAATCAAGCATTTGTTATTTGCATGTGATATCATTTCTCATATTTCTGTTTATGCTAAACAAAACAAGTTAGGAATCGTGATTTATTTCATGTTATTTGTGTGTTTTTATGAAGACTTAGCGTAAAATATCCAGCAATATATTCCATCCACATGCCTTACCATTTTTTCTGTATTTGTTAGAAAATATATGCAAATGATATTGATTCATAATTATCTGTTGAATATGGAAACTTATGTTCAACTTTTATGAGGATGGACAAAATTATCAACCATCAGACATTTTGATAATATTGTTCCAGAAGTTACGTGTAACAATATCTATTTTCAGTTTCGCAGTGATCCAAACTCAATCCATGTAGAACTCAGTAAGTATATATCATGTAACCATGGTAACACAAGACACCACTGTTATTTTCTTTCAAGTCTCCACCTGTGAAGATCCAGTAAGAATGGTCTTCAGCAACCCATGCTTGTCGTAAAAGGCGACTAATGAGATCGGTTGTCGAGGCTCACTGACTTTGTTGACACATGTCATCGATTCCCAATTGTTTAGATTGATGTTGTTGATCACTGGATTGTCTGGTCCAGACTTGATTATTTACAGACTGCCGACATATAGTTTGAATAGCTGAGTGCAGCATTAAACAACAAACCAAACCAAAATGAAGTGTCAACTACATTTCCATTGTTTATTGGGCGGTGGGGGAGCCTGCTGGTGTTCACCTGTCAGGTAAAAGCCATTATACAATGTGTGAAGCCAATTCTGTTGTCACTCATCGTGATGTTGCTGGAATATTGCTGAAAGCGGTGTAAAACTCATTTCACTGCAAATGTGTATCAATACTCTGGTCACGTGATATATCTACTATCTGTGTCCAATTATGGTGTTTGAATATCAGTCCAATATTGTAGGTGTATAACTTTTGCTGGAAAATGACATTTTGCTGCAGGAATATGGTATTTGTGAAAACATTTAGGTTGTTTGAAAATAATCTTGAAAAAGTGTTGGTAAAATGGATTTTTTATAGTTTTAAACTTATCAACATCCTCCATAGATTTTAAGAGGTATAAAAAATGAATTAGTTCCTCTTAACATATCCAGCAAAAATCATGTACAATTAACCCTCCCCTGAACACTCCTAAACGCTATCTTGAATAGTCTTGATCCTTCCACTTTGGTATTTAGAAAAAGACAATATAATTATTCTTTATCCATTTTGGTTTACTATGAGAAAACCGTTCATGCTTTTTGTGTAAATTTACCCCTTGAATAAAGTCTTTTAATGGCATTTAGAAGTGATATTTTCAAACGTGATGTTCCTCAAAATTCAAAAGTTGACGTCCATAAATTCTAGCCTTTGAATATTCTTTTATAAGTACAAATGTGATTGTAACCCGTAGATCCTGATGGCTCCATGTCCGGGAACTTCAACCCGCTGACTCTGCCTCCTGGGGTTCAGTTTGGGCAGAACAACGTGATGGTACTGAACTATGATGACGACGATAATTTGATTAGTGGTAGCGGCAGCAGCAGCAGCAGCATGGGTGGTGCTGGGGGTACCCGCAAGACGTCCGCTGATTCCAGGTCGAAGTTCAAGAAAATGTCAAAGAAACACAGAACTGTTGGTACGTTAGAGTTTTTTTGTCATGTATTTATATACATTGATGATTTTGTTATTTTTTCGTTGAAGCCCATTTCTGATATTCCCCTCCATGATATTGCTGGAATATTGCTAAAAGTGGCGTAAAACCATACTCACTCACTCCAGAGACATACTAGTGTCAATGATTGTTACACATGACTGAAATGACCCACTCACAGCCCAGCCCGTAGTCCATGACCATGGGTTCAAGTCCTGGTTCATCCTGACCGCCTCCGTGGTGTAGTGGTTAGAGCGTCCGCCCGGAGAGCGGAAAGTCGCGGGTTCGATCCCCGACCACATCATACCAAAAAAGACGTACACGTTGGTCCCTGTCTGGCGCTCGGCATTAATGGGTACAACAAGGACTGGTCGGCTCGGAGTCAGTATAAGGTGTCTGAGTGGGATATTCATGCTTCACTGCGGCATGGTATCTCAGTAGGCTAGCACTATAAAACCAGCTTCAGTTTGGGCTAGTACACGCAGCCGCACATGCACATACACACGCATGCACGTCGTCATATGAGCGAAATATTCTCAAGCACGACGTTAAACCCAATTTCACCTCACCTCACCTGGTTCATCCTGAATTTGCTTTGCTGATTGTCTCTTCTCTCTCCCCTTAATCTTACCCACCAACCCACTCACTCACTCACGTTCGATGTAAATTCGAGCTAAAAGGGACTGCAACCAAATGTTTGACTGCAGTTTGTTTTCAAAATATTGAACGTTTTGAATCAGGTGAGCTACAGAGCCTACTTTTGTGTCTCATTTTATTTGTTTTCCGTTTTTAGTTTCATTTCTCTATGTATAAAAATAAATCAGTAAAATTGAGTTAAGAATCCATCATGGAATCTAATTCATGGCTATGAGTGAGTGAGTATGGTTTTATGTTGCTTTTAGCAATATTCAAGCAATATGCTGGCAGGCAACACCATTAATGTACCTATGTTGGGAATCGAACTCAGGTCTCAGCAAGACGAGCGAAGGCTTTAACCACTAGGCTACCCCACCACCCCTCATGGCCATGAACATGAATTAGATATCATCCTGACAAATCATGAAGTCCGACAATTAGTACATTTGGACGATGAATATAATTACTCTTCACCCGCATGATCTGTAGATGTTCAGTTTGGTTCCTACATTAATGAGCTTTATTATTTTTATTTAAACCAAAATTGAAGTATGTTACTCAAGAGAAAAATTTATCTTTTAGGTCCAGACGATCGAACATGAATCTCCATGGAAAAGCTAAACTAGTACGTTTAAGTATTGCTTACTAGCTTATTACTTAGTAATGACGGTTTATCGTTAAGGTGTTACCGGTATGTTTTAACAGGTGTGACCCATGTAGATCCGGGTTAGAATTGGTCTTCAGTAACCCATGCTTGTCGTAGGAGGCAACTAATGGGAGCAGGTGGTCAGACTTGCTGACTGTTTTGTTTGACACATGTCATCGTATCCAAGTTGTGCAGATCGATGCTCATGCTCTTGATCACTGGATTGTCTGGTCCATACTCAATTATTTACAGACCGCCACCATATAGCTCGAATATTGCTGAGTGCGGCATAAAACTAAACTCATTCACTCATTTAACAGGGGCTTTCATTATTAATTCATGAGGTTGACATAAGCTTTCATCCTGTGTTGCAAACGGGATTTATTCTAACCACTGTCTTATTTTTCTTTTAAAATATGGAAAAGTGAAAGTTTACCATTCATATTAGGAATCTGAAATCAACATAATGATATTTACTTATATTCACATGCAATTAATTTATCTGTGATATTGTCAATAAGGAAAAGGGTCAGTTGGAGTTATATGCACCTAAGGACATACTGCACTGGTCTGCATCATGTACAATTAAATGCATTAAACAATTGACATGATTCAGCAAATCATTGAAATAAAAATGAATTCTGCCTGCGAGACCTCCATACATACATGCATCTGTGCCAATATAAAATCTTTATGTTTTTCATTTGATGATCAAATATTAGAATGTATCTTAGATATGATTCATGTGTAAATTGTAATATAATATTTTCATAATTCTTTTTTTTTTCAGTAAACAGAGGGGAAGAGATAGATTTTAACCATGTTGACCTGGTAGCCGGTGACATTGGCCCAAAGTGGATGGATTTGGCTGTAGAAGTCAAAATGAATGATGAACAACTTCGAGATTTAAAACTGGAATACAATATGAACAGTGCGAAAGACGACTATGAATACTGTATGCGAGTCATCAACGATTTGCTGCAAAGAAATCCTCGGTTTAGTTTGAGAGATTTGACTTTGTCACTGAAGGAAATAGGCTGTCAGAAAACTGCTATCAAGTTGATAGAATTTATTCCTTAATGATATGAGGATTTTTGTCAAGATTGTAAAATATTAATGAAAAGGAGCTGAAATATATTGATGTGATTTGAAATTAGCTTATAAGATGGACAATGAGCAAGAATACTGTATTTGTATCATCGAAGAGATTTGATTTTGTCACTGAAGGGAACAGATTGTCAGGATACTGCTATCAAGTTGATTGAATTTGTTTTTGGAGAATATGAGGTATTTTGTCAAAGGTTGTCAAACACTTATTGATGTGACAAAAACTGTATATTTACTCTTTTGTAATGATTATGTTATGTCCATTTAAATCTACCTACAGGAATTTAATTTAAGTGTTTGAGAATTTTCTAAAAATCAATATTTAATTAAAATATATCTGCTTGAGAGAAAAAAGTGTGAAGACCAACAGACTAATTTATATAAAATATTAGTTATTTAACCTTTTCTTTCTGGATGGAAGACACAAAGCTGTCATTTTTAGATATTGCAAATAAGCACAAATTGTTGTTGTCTGTCTGTTCAGTATGTTTGTTCATGCTTGTTAAGTTTGCTGAACATGATCATGAATAGTGTGTTTTGTGTAAGGTATGATCATTAATACCTTGAGATTGAGTTTTCACAGAAGAATGTATTCCTAACTGTTACGTATCTAGTTCAGATTTCATTATTCCTTTGTCTTCATGTGTGTGTCTTTAACACATTCTTATTACTACAAGTTATATTACTCTCATCTCCTCCATTTCACTGTTGGTTTGTTGGGTTTAGAGTTTTAGGGCCACGTGTCCATTTCACTGTCAGCTGAGTAGGAGTTATCTGCTCATAGCAATATCAAGTTTTATTACAGATGGACATGAAGGATTTACACATGTAGTGATGGTGTTGGAAACTAATGATTGTTGTCTGGATGTACAATGCATGAAGCCCATTTCTGGTGTCCCCTGCTGTGATATTTCTGAAATGTTGGTAAAAGCCGCGTAAACTAATCTCACTCACTCACTTTCTTGATGTATGTCGCCCATGTCAATCTCCCAACGGACGCCAGCTTTCTTTGTCGTCTATATGTATCTGTAAATTCCCTTACATGATTATTGATGACGTGATGTTCTGTACTAGCTTTCAGGACAGAGTTGAATAATGAGAAACAGAATGATTGTCAAACAAATAGCAAGACTGGTTGTCATGAAAAGTTGATTCTGTTTGCATTTTGTTCTGAGTGATTGATAAGCTGACAGAAGGAAAGCCAGAAAATGAAAACCTCACGGCTACACACACACCACATTCGTGCAGTCATTTTCCGGCTACAAATTGCTGTAGATGGAACCTTTCCTGAAACTAGATAAGAGCCATTTCTCCATCTTCCACCATCAACTGCCAACAGAGAAGCGTAAGAGGCGACTGGCATGTTCGGGTAGTCAGGCTGGCTGATTCGGTTGACACATGTCATCGTATCCCAATTGCGTAGATCGTTGCTCATGTTGTTGATCACTGGATTGCCTGGTCCAGACTCGATTATTTATAGACCACCGCTGAAATACTGCGGTGTTACATAACAACCAACCAATAAAAGTGTTGTTCTTATAATTCTGTACGCCTGACGACTCCTGCGAATATTTTAATATGTGCAAAGAAAAATATGTTCTATTTTTAGCCAAGGGTCATGTTAGTTGATTTGTTTCATAGTGTATATTTATGATGATTTAGACATGTTTAAAGTCTTCTCAGATATCCCAAGCCCCAGAAGGATGAATTTTGTGCTGTGTGTGAATCATTTTAACAATATGTGGCGGCAAATGGGTTCAAAGAGCTATGGTTGAGAATCAACATGAAAGTTGAAGATTTACGGGAGTGATAGATTGTTTGTCTGAGTCATCATCCATTGGCATTCAACAGTTGCACCTGTAAACAATGTTTAAGAGATCAAACCTTTTTCAGATTTATTGTCACAATACCTATAAATATATAGAGAATACTACACGAGGTCTCATTACATACGAATTTTACGAAACGAGTGTCCTTCCTATGGTATCTGACCCAGCGAAAGCGAGAAACCATAGGAAGGTCACTCGTTTCGTATAATTCGTATGTAATGAGACCTCGTGTGGTATTTTATTTGTTACTCACGTGTTACATGCATTGAATTAGGTTGCGGAAGAATTTTGTTCTAAAGTACACTTTTGCATGACGTCACACTGTATTGACGTCACTACGCCATTCTCGTCTGTCCCCTTGGTAACCGACGTCACGATGCATGTCAGTTGTCATCGCCTCGTACAGCCTCCTACAGTAAACTACTCCGTAGCACCCCGTTTCTTGGTTTGCAACTGCTTCACTCGGCTAACATCACTGGTGGAAACATTGCGTTTATGTTTTTCGACGGATATAATGTTCTCAGTTCGACTCACAATTAAACAGCGACACGGCAACGTTCGCAATGTTTACATTCCCACGATGCATCTAAGTTGTAGAATGAATGAATTCACGTGTTTGTTATGAATGAACAAGTAGTTCCGTCACAAGGTGACCTAACTGAGAGGTCATCGGATATTATCCAATCAAATCGTTAGTATCTCAGGTTAAGTCGTTACAACATAGGTCAACGCGATACGACACTCGTGTGACGTACGAGATTAGTTCTACCCATACGTTGACCACGTGGGTAATAAACCAGAATATCTGCCTACTTGCCTACCTGACGAGTTAGCTAGCTTTAGGGATATAATTGTAGGCACTGTTCACATACTGAATACTTGCATTAAATGTCTTTACTGTGCAAAATAGCAAATAAAAGGAATTAATCCTAAGTCATTGTTTGTTGAACTTTTTCATGTTTATACTTTTTCTTGTTATCAAGGTATTGCCTGGAAATGAACACTTCCCCGAGTATTCAAATATCAGTGCCCACGTGTGAAGACCATTTTCTCAGTTCCATACTCTGCTAAATCAGAAGAAAGGAATTGGCTATTCTATTGGTGGGTGAACGGTATTAGGTTATCCAAATAACTGTTCAAAGCTGAAGTTAAACTTCTGATTAATGTTCATTAAGAAACAGATCCTTTGCATGAAAGGATATAAAAAAAAACAAGTAGACATGGTCATCAATATGCCCCACCAAAGTGTTCTGTTCCTATTAGTTCCTGTTTTTTAACTCCACCACGACATTCATGTCCTGAAAACACATACCAAATTTGGTGTCCCTATCAATAACGGTTTCTGGGAAAATCTGTTCCCCTTGGGGATACCATGCACAAAGTCAAGAAACGCATGACAAGGACCATAACTCTGTAAAGAATCTCAACACGGTTTCCGTTTTAGAACTCCATTAAGGTATTCGTGTCCTGAAAACACATACCAAATTTCATTTCCCTATCTATAACGGTTTCTGAGATAATCTGTTTCCATCTCGGACGGAAGGACGCACGGAACTCGAACCTATATCCCCAGCCAACTTCATGGCGAGGGATAATAAACCATTGAGACGTTTGCATAGACGGATCCAGAAAGGGGCAGCAGCCCTTTTGTCCTGCTGAAAGTTTATTAAGTGCCCATTGAAACTCTCGTGAAGACGCATGAACATGAACTGTGCACTCACCCTTTGTCAAAAAGCTGTGTCCGCTCCTGGTTTGGTCAAATCAGAAACTCCCGTGAAGACTTAGCTAGCCTTTTCTTCATTTTGAAATTAATCTCGTAAATTGAAATGTCAGTATCAGACAAAATGTCCCAGTATTTCCATTCGAAGTAATCAAGGAATCCGGGTAATTTGGAAAGAATGAAACCATATGTCATCTGAATTTTACAGATTATGTAAATGCTGAGTTTCATCATTGATACGTTCGTTCTCTCATCACGCTGAAGACCGAGGTTCGATTTCCCTCATGGTTACAATGTGCGAAGCCCGTTTCTGGTGTCCCCGCCGTGATATTGCTGGAATATTGCTAAAAGCGGTGTAAAACTAAACTCACTCACTCATCATTGATAACATCTGTGTTAAATATGATAAAAAGACCAGCGAAACCGCCATCATCTTCTACATACTTACAAAAAAAGTGCATAAGTATTCAGAGGGACAACAACTCTCCACATGACTGCATCACAAGGGCAATGACTTCAACTTCCAATAGTAAACAGTCCCTGTGTTTTGTGCAATGTCCCAGTAGCTCTAGATTTTGATGTCTCAAAGTTTTTAAGAAACCATCGAGCATGATCTGTCAACGAAGACTTCAAGTGAGCCTTATACGACCAGAGCCTTTCTCGGGGACTTAGAAAAGCTTTCAAAAGGTTTTACTTTAAATACGTGGAGAATTTCAAATACGACCAGCAGTGACTGAAATGTGTCGTTATATTTGTGTGTTTGTTTTGTTGTTGGTTTTGAATCTGGTTTAACGCTGTCCTGCCGAGGCTATCAGTGTCTCCGGACGAGATGGGGAAGACTCTGGCTTCAACCGAATAACGTCCATGAGATGTAACTCGCTTTGCAACAATTAGATACTGCAGGTTTTCATGAGGAAGGTCATCTTAATGATGAGACGAAAATGTGTAGCTGTGCTCGGCGCAAATGGTGGCCATACCCGTTACTGTATGAACACGAATGTGTGAGTGAGTAAGTTTAGGTTAGTTTTACGCCACACTCGGCAATATTCCAGCTATATGGCGACGGTCTGGAAATAATCGAGTCTGGACCAGACAATCCAGTGATCAATAACATAAGCATCGATCTACGCAATTGGGATACGAAGACATGTGTCAACCAAGTCTGCGAGCTTGACCACCCGATCCTATAAGTTAGTGAGTGAAATTAGTGTTACGCCGCACTCAGCAATATTCCAGCTATATGGCGGCGGTTTGTAAATAATTGAGTCTGGGCCAGACAATCCAGTGATCAATAACATGAGCATCGATCTGCGCAATTGGGAACCGATGACATGTGTCAACCAAGCCAGCGAGCCTGACCACCCGATCCCGTTAGTCGCCTCTTATGACAAGCATGGGTTACTGAAGGCCAATATTCTATCCCCTAAGTCGCCTCTTACGACAAGCATGGGTTGCTGAAGATCAACTTTAACCAGGATATTCACGGATCTTATTCTTGTGTTTCTATCCTGATTGACAATTTCACTGTCAGTATTCTTCATTTATCAGGGAGAAATACTTTTTTCCGCTGGATTTCTGTATACACTGACGCAGTTTAACTTTCCCTCCATGACCAGCGCCTGGCGGGGTAACAACAAGTACCATCTATCAACGTCTTTCGGTATGCTGTAGGGGATCGAACCACTGACCTTGCGTCCTCTGGGAAGACGCCCTATCCACTCGACCACTGAAAGGGGCACAGCAATGAGAAACACGAAACTCGAAAACTGTTATTCCAGGCAGCATTTATTGCCATCAGTGTTCTAGGACGTACGTCGCCCATGCTACAAGTCCTTGGAACGTTTCGTTTCCAACTCGTGTTATTTGGTCTTCTGGCAATAAGAACCCATATTTCCCTTTGTCTGGCAGCTCAACACCAGCGGAGTAAACAACCCCTAGTTTTCCATAGGCCCAGTCCACGCTGTTCCCGTTAGCAACATCTGAACAAAAGATAGAGGTAAAGTTCTGTGTTTCTCGGCGTTTATATTTATATATAGTTTCTCATTCAAATTGACAATAGAGTTTCAATAAACTACGTTTATCGCGAACACACATATAAAGAACTGACGGATATAACGAACTTTTTGGTCCCTGTCGTTTCCTGTATATTTTAGTCGATTTGCATAGCAAGAATTACTGTTATAACGAACTAAAATTAGTCGACCCTTTCATTTTGTGGGGCGGTGGGGGTAGCCTTTTGGTTAAAGCGCCCGCTCGTCACGCCGAAGACCCGGGTTCATTCCCACATGGGTACAATGTGTGAAGCCATTTCTGGTGCCCAGCGCCGTATTATTGGTGGAGTATTACTAAAGGCGGCGTAAAACTAAACTCACTCACTCAATTCTCATCGTCTGTTATTCAGTCCTTTGCAAGCACGTACTTACATATAGTGTTTGCTATTGTGCCATGGTCGTACACGGGGCCGCCAGAGTTGCTGATGGCATGCACGGCAGCAATAGATGAAGCATCCTGAATCAAAGAACCAAATAATGTTATTGAAATACAGGTGCTGTTTACAATGCCAGATGGATGACTGGTGTTATTTCCCCATGAACACAACACGAAACACAAGCTAACACTTTAGCATGGCAGAAGGCGCTGGGCGGAAGGGAAAATGATGTGGTTCAGGGACTGGGAGACAGTACACGAAACACTGTTAGGTTTCAACAGGGTCTTGATTGTTCCGGCCACCCTGCTCACTTACTGTCACAGTCACAGTCACAGTCACATACCTGATTATCGAAGTCAGTTTCTGGGACATCTTTGGTGTACCCCCACGGAGTCATCCACAACTGGGAATAGCTGTGCATGTCAATGAAGCCCCTGATTGTAACGTCCTCACTGAGATTATTCAGATACGTGATAGCGCCATTGACACATGGCTCGGAAGATGCCTTGGGTCCGCGGTATGTCTCTGAACAGGCACTCCCGCTGGAGCCTAGATCATCAAACACACGAACTAAGAAATTATCCCTATAAGTCATATATGTGTTGAACAAGGTGAACATGATTTCGGAATTGTTTCTTTTGTTAATTAAACAAACAAACGCAGCGCCCGGAAAATAAAAGAATTAAGAATAGTTTCACATTTGAAGGATTGATAAATGATAATGATAATACTTATGGCTATATTTATTGGCGAGTGTCCACCCACTAATGCTTGTTCATTGTGAAGAAAAACAGTGAATGGAATGTACAAATCATTCGTACATAGCTGTGAAAAGGTTTGACATTTGATTGTTCTTAAAATAATCAGGTGATTGGTTTATCAGTTTAATATTAATATTAAGTAGAGCCGTGACGATTTATCTTAGTATCGATAATCGTGATACTTTATCTAACGATAAATATATCGATACTTTTTTCTTATCGTGATATGTATCGTTGACCTTAAAATTATTTATTTTCATCAGAAATTGACGGTTGTGTTAAAATTTACACTGTTACTTGCCATCAAAACATACTTTTCGAAAGAAAATAACTAAAGATGGCATATCGTGATCTGCATCGAATCGTATCGTTGCAAGATATCGCGATACGTATCCTATCGTGAATTTTCTGTATCGTCACAAGCCTAATATTAAGTCTAATATTTAGTGATAGAGCTCCACAGAACTGGTTCGGCATGCTGGACGAGAGACGAGCAATTGGAACTGGATGTAGATGTTGATCCCGAGAAGGGAGAAATGTGACTGGTGTATACTCTGTGAGGAGAGATGAGAGAGAGATTGTTGAGACACTGAGCAAGATTGCTGAAACATTCGACCACCGTGCAGCGGTTCGTCTCACCTTCTGAATCTCCCCACTGGTAGGGCCAGTTCCGGTTGGGGTCCACTCCGACACAGTCGCTTGTTGAACGGTTGCTCCGGGTCTTCCTCCACATCCGATCCTACAACAGTACATGTTGTACATTTCCTTATGGAATCATAGTGCATTTCTAGTCACTGTATCACAAACATCCTATGTATAGAGCTCAGGTCACAAATCAGTTGAAGTTATGCAACGTACGGCGCGGATTGTCCTTGGATGGGTGACCCTGTTTGGCATCTTGACTCCTGAGAGGTTCTAGAACTTCAGTCCTACCCCACAACGAAGCACATGTGGTCTCACCTTAGTCAAGCGAGTTTGTTCAAATTTGCCTCTGTTCACACAGCAGAAAATGGGTACCCAGCGGGATAAATCATGTGACTTAACCTTCTAGCGCCCCATGCAGCTTGGGTTATCCGAGGTAATAATTATCTGTCTGCTATGAGCATGCTGTCGTTGTGGATATAAAAGGACTATTTATTATAAATCATAAAATTATAACTCCAAGAGGCTTCCGGGTAAAGAATTGTACAATCGACTCTGCTTTTAGCAGAGATTTCACATCGATGTTGAATAACCCATGCTTGTCGTAAGAGGCGACTAACGGGATCGGGTTGGTCAGGCTCGCAGACTTGGTTGACACATGTCATCGGTTCCCAATTGCGCAGATCGATGTTCATGTTGTTGTTCCCTGGATTGTCTGGTCCAGACTCGATTATTTACAGGCCGCCGCCACATAGCTGGAATATTGCTGAGTGCGGCGTAAAACTAAACTCACTCACTCACTCATGCATGTTGAAAGGGTTAAGTTGCTTTAATTTCAATGTCCATATCTTACGTCGGTCCACGAGTATTGGTAGCCGTCAGCATTCAGGACTGGTACAATGTACCAGTCAAACCCGTCGATGATTTGTACAACATCCCTCCTCTCGTCGTTGTAGCCACGCAGCAGCTGAATAGAAATAATTTCTAATGTCATCATGTTACTTTTGAACATCCATTTGTATCGCGATTTCTTGCGCTGTAACGACGGATATGTGACACACAGACATTGTACATACTCGAATGATGGCTTGATTTTAGGCGAAAGTTGTAATGTATATGTTAGTGAGACAGTTGTTTATAATTATGCATATGCGGGAAAAATCTTTCCGATGAAATTGACTATTTTGAATTGTACCATATGTTCTAGCGTTTTTCGAGTGAATAATTGACTTCCCTTTGCATGTGTTTCTGATACAACAAAGCACACTCATGGTATCATCACTATTTAACAATAACTCATAAACACATGCTTAGGATAAGGTTGAAGTCTTATAACTGAATCTACTTTAAGCAGATATGTCTTATGATGTGTAAAGGGTAGTCGCTTTTATATCCAATATATGAAGGCAGGCCCTGTTGTTTGACTCCGACTCACTGAGTTGGTCATGTAGATGAGTGTGGCTGGAGAGATCCACTCTCTGGCATGGATCCCTCCGTGGAGCCATATTGCTGCATTTGAGGCGCCGTTTCCCGGTGAGCTGATCTGTAATAGCCAGCATTTAATATTATATCAGCATTGGACTTGTTTTGATGTGAATAAACAATCAGTTTGATTTGGCCTAAACTTATTACAAGTGTATTGACATTGGAATTATCTATGACCTTTCTATTACCTCTCTGTTACTTTCCTGCTTGCTAAAGTAAGTTGAGAAACTCTCGTATTCGATTATGTGGTGAAATCTTAATAATCCGGTTTTCCCGTGGAAGTTTCCAGTTTAACAATTTACTGGACAAACGAATAATTTTGATGTGAAGTGAAATGAGGTTTAGATTATTTTCTTAATTTGGAACGGTAGCACCCCCTGCAGTGTCATGCCCTAGTTTAACATGGAAACCCCACATATTATAGTAACCCCTCTTATAACCTTTGATGTCGTTTTACGCCGTTTCGTATGACGTGGCCATGACGTGGCTATGGGGCTGAGTCACCGACCTTCGCTCTCTGGGCAGACACTCTATCCACTCGACCACTGAGGTGGTGGTTGCAACAATAACGTCAGATGAATAGAACCCCAAGTGTTCAATAGGCCCATTTCACGCAGTTGCCACAAGCAATATCTAGACACCCAAGTCGGTTAACTGTCACCGCAGCGAGTCTGTATATGTGTATACGTAACAATTTAAATGTCCCTGAAAACAGGATTCCCCACCTGAGTTTAAACAGATCTCCAATACCTGAAGAGAAAATGAGGTACAATAACTACACAATACCTTCAGTCCCATGATGCTTCTTCCCTCGAAACTTGCTGATACTGTGACAACTTCTGCCATATTGGAATAGGTGTCTGCCGTTTCCGTTATCCATGTGTTTATCTATGTAACAGGATGCCCATTAACGTCAGTGTCCAATATATACGTTCAATGCACGTCTGGATATGTTCATGCAGGCTTACATTTCCTTTAACAACTGCTCAGTTTATAAAAAAAAACACATTAAAAAATGATTCTTGAATGAATTTCTTTGAGTTTTTTCACGTGGGAATTGATAGAACATTGTTACCTTATTCTGAAAAGGGATGTTTCTGTCATTAGTTAATGAAAATGGTTAAAAAACAGGGAATGTAAAAGGTTCCACGGTATTCTATATTTTGCACTCCAGCAAGGATGTTCGGTATTAGTGAGTGAGTTTAGTTTTACGCCACTTTTAGCAATATTTCAGCAATATCATGGCGGGGACACCATAAATGGGCTTCACACATTGTACCCATGTAGGGAATCGAACCCGGGTCTTCGGCTTGATGAGCGAACTCTTTAACCACTATGCTACCCAGCCTCCCATGTGTTCGGTATTAGCGACCAGCGAATGTTGCAGAGTAAACGGGTAGGAGCACATAGCTACGACATCTGCAGCTGAGTGTCTCGTTAAACCATAAGACAGACAGATTTTATTGACGCAAGCCACATGGGCCTCTGGCCATACATGCAATACAATATACATAATTATTATGTTGGATGGTGAGGATGACATTATTAATAAGTTAAAAGTTGTTTCTTACACGGAATGCCTCATACACATATCTACCTAGAGAGCGTTGAGTATTAATATTTTCTTATGATAATAACTGTACATATTTATACACTGAATAATTTTTATAGTAATATTTGTTTAAATGAATAGATCTTAGGAATATTATTATTATCACAGGTACTGTGACACTCACTTCTTCCAAATTATGATAACAACCATAATCAAACCAGTCCCCACACGACGAGGAAGACGCTGCCTCAACGTCACTGATGATGATCTCGTGGTCAAGGTCAAGGTCAGAAAATCGTTGATACGCTTCTTGGTACTCTTCTGGGGAGACACGGATGTCTAGCGGTGTCCCCACGCCAGTTGAGAGGTGCCATATGTCATACTGTAAGGAAAAATAAAGGTAAATTATACCTCGAGATATTTTAGAGTGACTTTTACATTTTTCTTGACGGCTCCCGTTTAGTGTAGTCAGTTCAGTGAGACTGGGTTTGATTGATTGGTACAGTATGACTCCAATTCTTGACATTCTTGCTAAAATATACCTTAAAATAAAAATGTGATGAACTATGTTTTGTTAACAGTAGATCAACATTGGATATGTTTTGCGAAGTGGGTAACGAAGCACTTTGATCAACAAACGTCAAACGTTGGGACAAACTAGGCAGAAATAACACTTCGAAACTTTTCCTCAATGAAATTGTGTTTATTTGCTTACTTGCAGAGCACAAAAACTGTTTATATGTTTTAATGTAATGAGATAAATACCAATTTAAAAGAGTGAAATGAATTCAGATTGACGAAGAGAATTTCTTAATGCCATTGTTCCAAAAGATCCAATTACCATATGTGAGTAAGTGAGTATGGTTAGAAATGGGCTTCTCACATTGTACCCATGTGGGGAATCGAACCCGGGCCTTCGGCGTGACGGGCGAACGCTTTAACCACTGGGCTACCCCACCACCCCCATCACCATATGTACTGATCTAGTTTCATCCATTTCTGTGTACGACAAGTCATCTATGAGAAAACGTTTTCGTGCGTCGACATGTTCAATTGTCAGAATTTTCCCTCTTTTAACGATGGTCAAAGAACGATATAATTTCAGCTTATGTGCTCATATTCTCAAACATCATTCGTGTTTATTCAACTATATTGATAGGCCTAAGTGTCATCTTCGGCTGTCAACAGTGGCAGTGGCTTGAAGGTTTATCAAACGAAATCAATAACAAAATTGATAAATATGGAAAATCAATTCGAGCAAATTAAGTTAGATGTTTCAAAAGGATCTCAATAGTTTTTCGGCATCAGATGGATGTGGAGTTGTTTGTTTACAGGCGTTGCCTTCATCGTTCCGATTCATGCAATTGGTGATGTAACGATTCCGATTGTCAATAATTAGTTAAACCGAAAGTTTTTCCTAGATTTTAGAGAATTGGAGACTTCAATGTAGTTTTTTCACCAAAGAACCAATAGTGTTGTACAAATTATGAACAAAAAAAATGTCATTATGAATATACCTTTGAACTTGTATAATTTTGTATATGAGGTACATAAACTACTTGAAGGTGTTTAGAAGCGGAGCATTCATGCATTCCACACATAATTCAAATGATACGTCAATCCTACTTGGTAAATAGTAAAATTGCAAGTTATATTTGAATGAATGAATGAATGACCATTTATTTGTATAGCGCCTAATATCCAGGTTATTTCCTGCTCAGTGGCGCTTTACAGAAAAATTACACAATGATAGAAAAAACACACTCAGGTATGTTTTAAGGTTTTTATTAACTGAATCCCTTGATTTTGCACTTTTCAGTTCAGAAGGAAGTTCATTCCACAACGCTGGGGCTGCAACTGTAAAACATCTTTCCCCCATTTTAGTGGTGGTTCTGGGGGATGGCAAGATCATTCAGAGCACTGCTGGATCGCAGAGTTCAATTTGAAGTTTTGTACGAAATTAGGCGTCTTAGATACTATTTGGGGTTGTCGTTATGCTGTTCTCCCGTGGAATGGGTTCGACGCCAGCATTGACATGCAACTTGGAATTTGGGTCACAAACATAATGTCAACGAGATACATTATTTCAAAGATGAAATATTAAATTTGAAAGTAAATGTAAATCAAACTTTACGTTATGCACAGTTAGTTTTTTCCTTTAGTATACTTACGCCTTTCTCCTCAGCTATCACTTGAGCTTGCAAGACAGATTCAACCTCATTCTCAGATTGTGGTGTTATTCGCAGCACCAAATGCCTGCAGCAATGATAAAAAATATATCAACGGGTTAACAAAAGTTTAAAGGCGTAATCACTGCTGCATATCCTTTGGTTGTTACAGTACAACCAGAAATTATTGAGAATTTAAGATTGTAATTTCTTCAAAACAATTCACTCATTACTCATGTATTAAGTGTGAATATTAGCAGAACCTAACTCCAGATTCAAAGACAGGTGAACAGTTAGTATTTTGTCAAGTCACCATGGGCAGCAATGCAGGCTTCAATGCGGCGGGGCATACTACTGATCAAAGAAGTTAGAAAGTCGTGGTCCATGCTGTCCCAATATCGGACCACCTCTTCTTTCATTTCAGCTATATTTGTCAGATTTTGAACGATGTTTTGGGTCGTTGTCCTGCTGGAAAATCCAAACATTTCCATAGAACACGTGAGCAGATGGAAGTAAATGTCCCTCGAGAATATCTCGCTCACTGTTCATACTCCCTTCAAATACACAGAGGGGCGTTGCCCCTAACCAGAAAATATGCCACCCCACACGTTAAATTTCGGTCTGTACTTTGGGCGCCGATACAAAGGTTTTTCAGTTTGTTTGGTCCAGAATTTCAGTGTATTAGGAAACAGCCACACAGAACTTTCATCTGAGAAAATCACATCGTCGCAGTTAAAATTTCTATGCTGTAAGCACCAGTTCAACCTTCGCTCATTTTGTTCAGGTTTCATGATCGGTGATGGAATTCCTCGACTATTCTGCCAACCCATTGCATGCAGCTCAGTTCTAATTGTCTCCTTACAGACAGCCACAGTTCCTCTATCAATCATATCCAGCCTTAAGTTTTCTAAACTCGTTCGTTTGTTTTCAGAAACAAGAATACCAAGCCGCCTCCTGTCACCGACAGTCAATTTTCTGGACCAACCTGCGCCTCCCTGGTGCTCAATGCCATATCCATTTGCAATATTTTTCAAACCACGATAAACAGTGGACAAAGGGATGCCTGTTCTACTTGAAATCACTTTAGCTGATCTGATGTCCTTGTTACATGTATAATACTCTAAAATCAACTTCCTCTTCTCTAAATCATCCATACTGGGGATCACTGACAATGTCGTCTGCTAGCAAGTAAACAAAGGAGGAATCTGTTCAATGGAAATGCATATATTTGACACAGCAATGAACATGCTAGAAATTCAATCCAATGCTCAATAACCATGACAATCGTCTTTCATTGTAAACAGTGTGCACGTTGGAAATATCGATATAGATATCAAATCTACAAGGGAAATTGTCGCGCTGTCGCCCGTACAAGCGCTGTGCTTAGTATTTTATTTTTAGATTCAACAAAGGAAAACAATACAACAAAACAATTTGAACATGAACTATATGTCGCTGTTTGCACTTTATTTTATTTTATTTTCCATATTTTATGGTTATTGTGACTTTTTTTCCTATCCAAATTTTTGACTTTTTTTCCGTGACTTTTTTTCCTGTGTCTTTCTTTCCGATCACCATAAAGAGCACAGGGTGAATTGGGTGGCAATAGTTGTTTTTGTCATGTATTCTCCAAACCACTTTCCTATAGCACAGATCCGCATTTTGTGTTTGTTACAAAATTGATGTCCGATGCAACATACCATAATTTTCACTTGTATCATATGCACCTATGTTTTCAGGTGAATAGTTGACTTGGCATTGCATGTATTTGTGACATGTGCCACCTTAGGATACGCTCAACTAGTCTTGAACACCTGGTATCACCACTATCCATATTGATTCATAAAACACATAAACTCTGTCAAAAAAGAAACGCAACCCCTGTCCTCAGATATGAAAAATTCGTTTGAATGAAGTTATTGCTTCCAAACTAAATTTTATTCGAATGTATTGAAATGATACACGTAATTAATGAAGATTACCATCCAAACAACTGCATTTGTACGCATAAGTGTATTTTATTGCTTATTCCGTCACAACGCATGAAATGACCCTCATGGTGACTTCGCACAAAAAAAACACATGCAAATCATGAAAATGGCAGTTAATGTAGGGGTGTATAAAAGCCCATGTGCTTCCGTATTATATTCATTCATTTGTCGCCGAAAAGCTGTGTTAAAAATGCCACGATTGAGTGCTGCCGACCGAAATATCGCCATTGGTCGTGTTCAAGCCGGAGAAAGTTTTGGAACTGTTGCACGGCACCTAAATGTTCACAAAACAACGATATCCCGACTTTAGAGCCGCTACAACAACTTGAATTTGACCAACGATCGCCCGAGAAGTGGAAGGCCAAGAATCACGACCCCCCTTCAAGATCGGTACATCCGGGTCCATCACCTGCGTAATCGGCATGCCCTACCAACCGTGACTGCCACACAAATACCAGGTTTGAGGAGAGTGTCAGCTCAAACGATTAGGAACCGTCTGAAAGAAGCGGGTTTACGTGCCTGTAGACCAGTTGTTGGACCTGTACTACGCCCCCTACATCGACGCCGACGACTCAGGTGGTGCAACAACGTAAGGATACGGACTTTACAAAACTGGAGGCGAATCTGGTTTTCTGATGAATCACGTTTTCTTTTGCAACGTCACGACGGAAGACAGCGTCTGTATAGGAGACGTCATAAACGTTTTGCGCCCATCTGCGTCCGACAGGTGGACAGATTTGGCGGAGAAAGCGTCATGGTTTGGGGAACCATCTCATACAACCAGAAATCAGACTTGGTGATCGTTCCAGGGAACCTGACAGCCCAACGTTACATCAACCACGTGTTAGAGCTTCACCTTCTCCCGATTATTGACCAACAGACACAGATTTTTCAACGGGACAACGCCCGGCCTCATACTGCACGTGCAACAATGAACTTTCTGCAGAATTCCAACGTCAATGTCTTGCCATGACCCTCTAAATCACCAGACCTCAACCCTATTGAACACCTGTGGGATACTCTGGATCGACGCGTACGTCAACGTCAGCCGCCGCCACAGACGCTGCAACAGCTCGCCGTTGCACTGCAGGAGGAGTGGAGAGCCATTCCCCAGGAAAGAATCCGGCGTCTTATCCGTTCTTGTCCAAGGAGATGCCGTGCAGTGATTGCAGCGCGTGGTGCTCATACGAGATACTGAGAAAGACGCCCCCCCTGGTGACAAACTGGTGTCTGTGAGATGACTTTTGAAATGACAATTTTAAACATGCCCATCTGGGTTATTATTCTGCCAAATTTCAGACTTCTGTCTTAAATAATAAAAATGCCGTGTCGTCCTAAAACTTCAGATCAAAATCTCTAAAATACAGGGGTTGCGTTTCTTTTTTGACAGAGTTTACATTGTAATTCTGATTTTTTTTTAGTTTTTTGATGATTACGGAAATTATTGTGTGGCTCTGTGTGTATGTCTGACACCTTCTAATAAATTAAACAGAAACAGAGGCAACAAATTCACACTAGAACACAATCTGTTTCTGGAAATATTATAGCAGCTGGTTAAAAGCGTTTCAATTTAAATCGTTTCTTCCTACTATGCCAGGTATGTATGGTCCTCCAACATTGTGGAGCAGCTTTTCCGTTACCTCTGACATAATCCATATCGCAGGCTGCATCCTCCCCATCGTGTCAAAGCTACTTTATCTTCTCAGTCTTTGCCATCTGACAAATGAGACACTTCTTTTGTCCCTGATGTTAATTTCTACACGTCATATCTCATACTGTGATGGGGTTCAAGAACCTCTTAGTCATTTGTCGTGTTATAAACAGTTGTCATTTGTCAGTGTTATAACGACCAGTCATTTGTCAGTGTTATAAACAGTTGTCAGTTGGGCACATTGATCATTTGAGAAGATGTAATGGTTTCGAATTTTAAAAGTGATAGTATACGGTAAATATTCTATGTTCTAAAGTTATAGTAATATTTTATTAAATGTCTTAACATTAAATACCACCATGTTTTTTTCTTCTATAACTACCGAGTCACAAGGACAATAATCATTCTTACGACAATATTGTATAACTTTTCTTTAGAGACAATACTTGAATTCGGACTTGGTGTCTCACATATTCTCTTCAACATTACTTGCTAGAATCGATTCTCATCTGTGTTTCAATGTATTCTCTTAAACCCTCACATATTTATATATGTTGTTCCTAAATAAAAAAACAGTTGCTCCTTCTCGTCTTTTACACCACAAAGCATTTACTGAATGCTGTATGCTTAAGTGTTAAGCGTTATATGACGATTACAGATCACATCCATGCTTTCTATGACGTAGTACTTTTATCTCTTCATGTTATTTACATATCATGAATATGACAAGTATGACTTGGATAATGAGTCATCCTATAATTCGATACTGTCCGTCAGTATCGTACTTTGTCTTAATATGCTTAGTCTTTTGATACCTACCTGCACAGCATTGTGTCCAAAAGAGGTCGCTGTATTCCATGGTGACATATATGTTTTCATACCTGAAAACACTGTTTACATTCACACATATGTTTGTTGTGACTTAACACTTTTTCTCAAGTGTTGTAGCTCCGTAGTCGAGCACTTCCTTCACTGTAGTCGGGCCCCCTCAACCATCAATCATCTGGCTCCATACTTGGTTTGGCGACGACCGCTATACTCCTCCCGGCACAGCCGTTGCACACGCCATGCGCCATACGGCAGTATGGTTCCTAGCCTCGCATTTAACATCGCTGATGAAGTTGCTCCACCATCTACCTCTGACAACATCGTTCAGCAGGGTCTGTTGAACTTCAGACAAACGACATGTTTACCCATGACATTCTACCCGTGTGCTGACTCTTTTTCATCTTACCACGAGGCTCCCTCCCAAGATCGTACTGTGGGATCCTGCAGGGTTGTGTGCTTCGTCACTGACACTTCACTGTGGAATTGGATACATCATCCTGACCAAGATGGTACCAGTGGATTCGTATGGGGACCGTTGACATGTCATTTTTTGTGAATGATCGTACAGTATGTGGTCATGTGAAGTGACATTTAATCGTCTTTATTATTTTTATTTACTTTAACGGAATATGGTTTTGTTGTGTACATGCTTTGTGGTTTTACGATGTAACATAGAAGCCCCATTCTTCCCCTATCCCACGTAAATAAGTGTACCTTTGGCATATTTGCCTTTTTCGCGTTTTGTACGGAATGCTTTACAATTGATTAACATCGCCAATGTTCCCGTGTTGCTTCTTGTGTAGTTTTCATTCTATTTCACAAGATCTCAACCGTGTTCTCATGTTTACTTATTCCGAGTTGTGAGGAACTCTTGTCCACAAGCGGACGATGTTATAAGGTACAAATGCATCTTCTAAACAAGAAAAGTATGATAAACCCTTCATTGAGAATGCGGTTACTTCGTGATTGAATGGGTGCTATCACTGTTTGGTAATTAATCAAGACATATAGAACAAAATAACTGGGAGTAGCAGAATCCATAGACGCTTAAAGTATTAGTTAACGGTGAATCACCGATGGGTAATTTACAGTAATTCTCCGATCACGAGGTACAACATGAGACATGGAATGATGTAACTTTAACCGAATCAGAAATGTATCGGGACATGTAACAAGGGCGGAGCAGGCTCCAACACCTTAAAGAGACACCTTCAGCACTAGCAAAGTTCCATTTGGTGAAGCGCTTGCCCTCTCCTATCAAATCTTTACACATTTTCAAAACATTTTGACCCCTGTATTTCCCTCCCAATATACGATTTATCAGATTTGAGCGGCGAGCATTTGGTTAGTTATTGGTGATAGTTCTGTAATAGTTGGGATATTCTTAAGAGATTTGTATGCTATTACTGACAGAACAACCACTGCTACCTGTGTTTAATGTATCAAACGAAACAAGGTATCTATTTTCACAATTCACGTCAGCTGCATGTGAATTTAACGGTCAATTATTATGCCCAATCCTTCTCAGTATAATGATCTTTATCCATGTTATTTTGTAGCTTCTACTTAATCGTGTGCATTTTCTGTGAAACAATTGACTAGGATTTCAACCAAATAAAGACAACTATTTGCACAAGCACCCAACCATCAACGGAGACATCATCAACCATTGACCATTGTCACTATTTCAGATAATGTAGTTCACTGTTTACTGTTTTAACGATATAATTTGTTAATAAAATAACAAAACGACGAAAGAGTTAACAGGATTATTTTTAGACGTTTTACACATTATGAACAGTTGGAAGAAACAAATGAAATAGTACATACCCTTCATAAGAAACCTTTCCTTGTACGGAAATTAAACAGAGCAAAGACACCACCACAGCTGAGAACATATTCACTGCAACTGGTTCTACCAGCCTTCCATTTACAGTGATATTGCAATTGGTAGCAATGTTTACAATGAACGTATCAGACCTAATGAAGGTCTGTTGTTCCGAAGTCCGGAACAGGTGTCCATCTGTTGGCGATGAAATGGATCACGTTTGGAATTGTGTATTATTTAGCAGTTGAATTGTCCACCGTGTGTTATACTGATATTGTGTACGTGGGAAAGAGATAACCAGATAGTATTTATATTTAATTCCCACAGTTTTATTATACTTATGCAGTTGTATACGATTGTACCTAAGACCCCAGGCTGTTACCCCAGGCTAGTACAGCTGGGTTGTTATTGTCTTTTCAAATACAGGAGTCCGTCAGTGGGTCCACAGCACTTTATTGGGAGTCTAATATGCAATTACATGATGATGCAGCAACGGCCAGGCAGCATCTGGGAAGGCGATCGTCAGTTCCCTGCCCCTGTCAAGTCCCTCTTACAACCAGAATTCCATATATGTGCTGACAGTCAGGCAGCCCTGTATCGTGTTGCCGTACACCTAAGGTCAGCCTGCAGTATCCTGTACCTCATCCAAGATGTGAAGCCACAGTGGCCAATCGGCATATGGTTAATTACATGCAGCTGACCTGCACAATGTTTACAAATATTTTATGACGTCACGTTATATGTTATTGGAAATTATAAATATTACAGACTAAACAACCATGTTCGACTATCTTAAAACTGCCAATGGTCACGTTGATATCGAGCATCGGACATAATCAAGGACCGCTATCTCTTATTATGCTTGTCAGACAGATTTTAGCTAACAGAACCAAGGTACAACACATGTATCTGCATTTACATTCCATGTTGGTCAAATCGCGAGCAAGTCACATATACATTCGTGGCATACTCGCAACTGGACATCCATTACACAGTGTATCAACATTTTCATTCGCGGAAGTAAAAGTTTAACTCTGTTTGTGTTTGTTTGCATCATAATGTCAAATAAACTTTTGCAGTTGAGAATGTTTGCTTTACCATCTTCATGACATGTTTCTCCTTTAAGCATTTTAGCCTGTAACCCGATTACGTTCGCATTAACAGGGCCGTTTAACTGATCTGAGGTTTAGGTTATTCCCTAATATAACATTTTCACGCCTTGAGATGACATCATACGTATGTTTTTGTAAGTTTAAAGTATTTTTATATCCGGAAACGCCATCAAACCCTTGAACACTTTTCATGGTACTCGTAAAAGTCACGAATCTTATAAATTGTGCTTAGAAGTTGAAAACTTTATAAACAAATTGATATAGTATAAAAAGTACCCTAAACTGGATTAATATCATCAATATGTTTTACCCAAGGCTTCCTAATAATCATGGACGTATAGATTCTTTATCATAAATTATCAACATGGTGTGCTTGTGACCATGTGTTTTACATGAAAAGCAATGTCATTTGTGATAACAGACAGTGCTACTATCTCTTAAGGCTTGTGAAGAAACAGCTGCTTGATATTGCCAGACCAACCACCTCCCCATTCCGCCATACACCATGTTGAGGTCAGGAGTGTTGCTGCTTTTTGCTTGCTGGACATGTGTCCAGGCAGTGGTCAGATACGATGGGTGAGTCTCCCTGTTGACCAGTCCCGAAAGTGTTCAAAGTTTAGTCATTTTCGTAGTCAGTATTGATGTTGGTCATTGTTGCATTGGGCTTTTTTCTCATCTGGATACATCAAATTCTACTCATTGCTGTGTCATGACAGCCACACCTTTGCACTTCACTCGACTATATAAACATAGATTTCACAATGCAAAAAAACTATTTATGGTATTCCATTTTTAATGTAATTTCTCACTGATCGTCGTGGTCTTGGTCTAAAACCAATAGTGTGAATTAAAGTAGTTCCTGCATTATGTGCTGTGTGACTACAGTGTAAGTATTGTTTTTTCACTCGAATATATATTTTCATATTCTATGATAATAAAGCAATTCATCGCTACAACAATATATCTCACAAACACATTACCGAAAACTAAAAACACAAACACTTTATTGTTGGTGAAATCATATTCATATATGTTTCGAGACAGCATAGGAGGTTTGATATTAAATAATATAACATTTGATTCCATCTGTAAACGAAGTCTTGAAGTAAAAGAGTTTATGGTAATTCGTCCGAGATTAAGGTAAATTTCAGAAGATCGGGCAACTTATCGTCTTTGTCCCTGACCTCGTAGCGATGTATCTGATCTGCTGATTAGTGAATAAGCATTTTTTCCACTCTTTGTGTATTAAGCCTCACAAAAGAAACGACACAAAACCTTACTGATTCATTTTCTATACTTTTCTATTGTATTATTTACCATATATAACCACCTTTTGTGGACCAGTTCCTTTCAGGATAGGTTGTGACTCACTTGCACCAGTATCACACTGTTCGCCCTCGTCCTCTTTGTTTACAGATCGGAAGGTTGTGGTTGGGATAGCGGGCGTCTGGGCGAATCTATATTGGTACTAGTTCATAAAAATGAGAAAAAGACGGAAAACCACTTTCTATCGTTATAAGAGTCCATTATGCGTACGTGTTTACGAATCACACTGTCAAATTCTGAAGACACCCGGTGGCCGTGGTTAACACAGAACACCCTGCAAGACTCGTTGCCACGAAGTACAGAATTTGGTGGTGTTGCTTTTTCATACCTACTTCTAAAGTATACAATAAGATGTTTCAACACTGATCAAGCAGATACTACATGTGGCAGCATGTAAGGTCACATGGATTGCTGTGGCATTCTGTGGTTGCTCCATATTCACGGTTAACGGAAGAAGCATGCTGATAGCAGAACAAGCCTAACTGTTCTTGATCGGCGTCAGTGGAAACCTGAATGTCTTTTCACTACTGTTGAACCAGTGGCAGATATTCGAGACTGGTTTATCTCTGGCATTGACTTTATATATTTAGTTTCCACTACATTGATTATGAGATGTGTGCGATTCTTCAGTGTATTGTTTGTGCTTCATCTGAGAGTTGTCATACGGCGCTGGCTAAACAAGCTACCATACTGCACCAACGTGTGTAATAGTGTGTATTCTATTCGTCAATAATTTCATGAACTAATAGTCCAAATGACAAATTCAATCCCATTTCGTTAAATTTATTCCAATCGGTGCTTACATCAATATTTTAATAATAGTTTTTGCGTGCGTCCCATTGCTGGAAGTACTCGGAGACGGAATGGGTAACTTTTTCCTGGAAACCATTATGTGTTATATGATTTGAATCTGAATTGACATTGAAAAGAAGGTTTGGGGGTTATTTTTATTTCTTAAAATTAATGTATATAATTTAAAAAGTGTTTTGATTGTGAATTACAAGTAGCAAAAAGTAAACTATGTCCGTAACTTGTATTTCACAATCAAAACAATTTTCGAGATATTCACGTTTTTGTTTTAAATAGTCAAAAGTAACAGTGGACTTTTTGCTTCTGTTCGTCAGTTTATTCTGTTAAAGCATTGTAGTCTAAGTCACCATATTTCCTTTCAGACACCGGGTGTTGAGAGTTGTCCCCAAAACACCAACTGAATATAAGACCGTGCAGAAGTTGGAGGCTTTCGCAGAAAAAGATAATGTATACACACCAATACAATTAATACAATTAAATATAGAAGTAATTAAAGCGTTAATGAGTCATTCATGTATGTTTACATATGTTTAATATTTATCGTTAATCCTGGTAAATGAATATACACTAGTGATCACACTGTTCGATGCATTATGCTTCAGACCATTTTGTGTATTTGTATGCCATTTGACTAAACCAATTCTCACACTCTCGGATATATTTTGCTAGTTTAAAGGCTATTTCGCTGCAGTCAATTAGAATGTCAGAAGAGTCCTCATCGAATTATTCTTACCGCATGCTTATACAACAGATCCACACTGCAAAATGTCAGGACCCGTGAAGATCCGGGTTGGACTTGATCCACAGTGAGTGAGTTTAGTTTTACTCCGCACTCAGCAATATTCCAGCTATATGGCGGCGATCTGTAAATAATCGAGTCTGGACCAGACAATCCAGTGATCAACAGCATGAGCATCGATCTACTCAATTGGGATATGATGACATGTGTCAACCAAGTCAGCGAGCCTGACCACCAGACCCCGTTAGTCGCCTCTTACGATAAGCACGGGTTACTGAAGACAAATATTCTAACCCGGACCTTCACGGGTCTTGATCTTCCAACCAACCAACCAACCAACCAACCAACCAACCAACCAAAATGCCACATGTCTGAGCACGGTCGGACAATGATTCGCAACAATGATACTGCTGAAACCATCATCATCCTCTAAATTTCTTTCACAATAAAATCAAATCAATGTTTTCTTTTCCATGTCTTAGACATCACATCTAGAAATGCATATTGTGTGGTTTAGTCGAAAGACAGATATATGCATAACTTTATAGACGTATACATAATAAGGAACCAGTCACGAGTTTAAAATGAATGTTTTCTTATATGGTATTAAAAATGTGACGATGTCTGGACCAAACTGACTGGACTTCTCAATCCTGCGTCAACAGGTTGACGTATGGCGCCGCAGCAATGGCGTTGGTAGTCCATTTGACTTCCGGGTCACTCCAGATGACTTTATCGTCATGACGTCGTGGTTGCACATGTACGGCCTGCGTTACGAGGTGATGGTGAAAGACGTCGAGATCGCCGCGCAGAAACAACGACAATCCAACAACAAATCCACCAACGCCATTGATTTTGATTATGGTAGATACCATGACTTTGACGAGGTAACTGTAGTTTTCTACGTCCGAGGCCAACGTCATATTGACGTAATATTACGAATGATAACTCACTTAGTCACATACGATTTCTTGACACAAAGTATGATTTGCTGATAGTCTGTCTCACAGTCCACATTATTTTCCCTACTGCCAAGCCCTATCTGCAGCGCTAAAGCCCTAAATATAGCAAGTCTAGATTTCATCAGGTTCTGAAGCTCTGGGTGCCGTTCCACTAACCGATCTTATCTAAGATCAATCTTAGCAAGTTACGCCAATTTTACAATCGTCTTAGCTAAAAGTTACACCCGTTCCACTAACCGATCTTAGGCCGATCGTAGCCGGTCCCGATCTTACGATCCGATCCAAGCTTAGATCGAGACTCTTTCGTGCGAGAGATAGAGGAATGCGAGGCACGCGTTATCTCCCTTTGCATAGTCTAGCAAATGATAGAAAGTAGTTTACGAACCAACTGAGTGAGTGAGTGAGTTTAGATTTACGCCGCACTCAGCAATAGTCCAGCTATATGGCGGCGGTCTGTAAATAGTCTAGCTAAGATGCATAGCGTTCACTAACATGAGCGTTCATGTTAGTGAACGCTATGTATCTTAGCTATAAATAATCGAGACTGGACCAGACAATCCAGTGATCAACAGCATGCGCATCGATCTGCGCAGTTGGGAACCGATGACATGTGTCAACCAAGTCAGCGAGGCTGACCACCCGATCCCGTTAGTGGCCTCTTACGACAGGCATGGGTTATTGAAGTTCAATATTCTAACACGGTCCTTCATGGGTATTTTTCCAACCAAGTGTCAACGTGGAGAAAAAACCTAGAGCAAAATATTAGGGTAGTGAGCACCTTGGTTTCAGGTGCAAGTGCGTGAGAACGCTGGGTATCAAGCATAATATAATAATAATAAATGCCTATTCCACATCCTTGGGCATGTTCAATGCGCTGTGTACAGATAATTTACACGAGAATATTTACAGCCGAGATTATAAGTAATATACTGAGAACAGGTTTTAAGTCTGTACTTTAAAAATGTCAATTGTGTCAGAGCTTTTAATATGTGCCTGAACCTTGTCAATCAGAATAAACAAGGCGTGACGAGGCTATAACGTATGTAGAATCTGTCAGTGGTCTTGAATAACACGCGGCCTGCCTTTAGAATCCCCCACCAAATATGCGCAGTGAAATCAAACATATTTGTATCTTTTTGCCTCAGAACATTGTTCACTTCACGGCTGTCCCTATTCTTAACCATGACGTTGCAATATTGTTGTACAAATGTGTTACACCGACTCGCTCGGTTGTGTTCCCATGACGACAGTGGTCAGACTGGCCTGACATTTGTAAGGCTTCAGTGCAGTGTTTGTTTACATCACAGAAATATACAAATTCATTTCATGGGGGGACTTTAGGGGACGCTCACGGTGAAATGCTCGCTCTTATTTTTCACATAGAATAGGAAAGCCACCATTTTGGTTTATCTACGATTGATTTTAGCTATCCTAAGTTGGTCATGAGCAACTTAGACTTTGAATCTTAACTTTACGATTGACTTAGGTAAGATTGGTTAGTGGAACGGTATACCGATCGTAACGTCACGCTAAGATTGAGATTTTAGGGGTTTACGATTGGCATAGGGCTAAGATCGGTTAGTGGAACGGCACCCTGGTCTCCCTGGGGCTCCTTTTCAATTTAAATGGGCTTGTTTTCCCAATTGTCAACACACCAAATGGGCTTATAATTACTTTCCCAATTGTCAACACACCAAGAACTGTGGACATTGACATGCCATCGATGCCGGCTAGTTCGAAAACAGTACTCCGTTAGTAAGCGTGAAGTATTTACTTCCTATTTATTCAAACGGTACAGAACAAAGTGCATTGTTGTCCAATCAACTGCCGCTAAATCTCATGCAATGTCTGTACATATTAATGTATTTTGTTTACATGTCAACTACAGATTTATATCCATCTGCCTCCAGATCAACCAGTGGATTACCGACATAGCTGCTGAATATCCCAACATCGTCACCGTTATTACAGCTTCACAGACATACGAAGGCAGGAACGTCCGGGGTCTTAAGGTAACTTCATCATAATCCATAGAATGAATTCGATATTGGATATCATTAAACAATATTCTCTGTCGCAATAATAATAAAATAATGTAACATTATATTTTTGTAACTGGGATCATATTTATCAAATTCAGTGATACTCTTCGGACAAATTCATAAACTGACATACAATAGAAGAAATAATTGTGACGAGTCAGTCACAATCAAAACACTTTTCAAAATATTTACGAGGTGTTTGTTTTGTTGTTGGTTTTGTTGTTGTTTTTCTGTTGGTTTGTCTTGTGGTGTTTTTTATTTTATTTTGCAGTTTAATTTTTAATATTTTATTATATTTATTTGTTTGTTTTGTTTTATTTATATATATATATTATATTTTATTATTATTATTTTATTTTTATTTATTTTTTTTATTTTTTGGGGGGGTGTTTAAGGTTGATTAATTATCCCACAGCAATAGGTGTCTACTTTCTGTAGTGGGTTAAAGGTCACATGCAACGTAAAACACAACTTTGCAGATTCTGATACCTTTCGGTATGGACATACCGAAACAAATCGTAAAAATGCAAATTCAACTTATAAAGTTGAAAAATAACGCGATGAAAAAAACCGCGCGAAATCGGAGTTCAAACGTTTCACTAATTTTCCCCAGACTTTTCTGGGGAAAACGGGTTTCAACAGCTGGGCTGCGCTCATAGCACGTGCGCAAGTAAATAGGTTCGCGCAGCTTGGAAGCGGGTTGTCGGGTGAATACTCGGTGAAGGCTTTGGTGTGAGCTATTTTTCTAATGTTTTGTTGATATCTCACAGGCGCGAGCTTTTTATATATTATGACAGTAAAATAACTGTTTATATAATTTCATTTGTCTATTTCACCACACGTTCTTCTTACCGAGACACTTTCTCAGTTCGATACTTAAAAGCAATGTCATTATTTAGCGTTGACAGAATTTCTAACTGTGATATAGATATGTCGTTGTCACAGACAAAACTCAATGTCTTGTTTTATTGACACCTGTGTGTCTGCCTGCCTGTCTGCTAATGACAATATTCAATACACAGCTGCTATCACTGACCACATGCAATTTGAACTTAACACCAATCAGGCTATACACCATAAACAAAATGCATTGATTTATGGCCCGAGTTCGGTCTCTGTCACATTATGTAAATATACAGACAGGCAGGTGTGATACTTGAACACATGACATGTTATGATGTCTGTTGATTGCAAAATGTTATACACAAAAAATGAGCATGTATTTACAAAACCCAACATCTCTCTATATATATACACACAATTAGCCGCATCTGCAAATGAACCAGCCGTTACACTTGAGTGCACACTCACCCGCTCTGACTGGGTTCGGTATCCCGGCTGTTTCGTTTCTTGGGAAGTAAACCGAAGTACACAATTTTGCACTTTCGATTTGCGATTGTACGCTTATAATTTTGTTTATATATTTTTTCGTAACCAGCAATGTATATTATATGTCCTGAATAAGTGATAATTGTGTTTTAATTATGTTTGATTTATGGGTTGCATGTGACCTTTAAGTAACTCTATGTTTAATTACCTTCTCAGATATCAGCGAGCAGTACAACGAAACCGGGCCTGTGGTACCAAGGCGGTATACACGCCCGAGAGTGGATCTCCCCCGCCACTGTAATGTACATCACAGCGAAGGTAGGTGGAGGTCACACGGGATCCAATCATCGCATCCTAGACATTCTAACAGTGTTTCACATGTATCAAGGCGTATCAGTATATGTATTTCATGTATACATTTACACCTTTTATAGTCACGATATGGTTGAAATACAGCCGATGTGACTTTAATTTTAACTCACTCACTCACTTACTAACCCGGATCTTCACGGGTATATTGTGCGATTACGTACCTTGAGACGTCATAGACGTCATAACCTGTAATGAAATTCCCATTGACGTAATGCATGTAAAGCCTGTGGTACCTGTACAATGTACATCACCATCGAATAACAATTTCTTGTTTGTGACCATTAAATACGTGTGTACAGTATATAACGGGAAAACAGTACATCAACAGCATTGGGCATATGTCACACCTGAATAGGTGTGGGAACTATAATTCAATGTACGTTATGATCTCACAGCTGCCCTACACATTTTTATCAGTGCCGTTGATAAGGAATCCATATACATATGTAAATATGTAAACGATATGTAAATGAATTGATATGATCGAGTCATAAATAGTTAGTAAAGTACATGGTTCAACGATCATTCATCAGTTACTGGAACAATACCCCACACGGTCAGAGGTGAAGGAGATTCTGGAGGGATTTGATATCTACGTCGTTCCCGTCCTCAACGCCGACGGCTACGTCTTTACGTGGACAGAGGTGAGGGAACTTTAATAGAAAGATCATCTTTGCATTTTATTCACAGAGTTGAGGCCACTTTAATAGTAAGTCTCACCTTAGTACGGTATTTACAGAATTGAGGCCACTTTAAAAGTAAGTTCCACCTCAGTATTGTATTAACACAATTAAGGGCACTTTAATAGTAAGATCAACCTTAGCATTGTATTCACAGAGTTGAGGCCATTTTAATAGTATGTTCCACCTTAACATTGTATTCACAGAGTTGAGGCCACTTTAACAGCAAGTTCCACCTCAGTATTGCATTGAAAGAGGTGAGCGCACTTCATTTTACAATATTGTAAAATGTTATTGAAACGTACACTCACACATAGTAACATGTTACAGGAACGTCTCTGGAGGAAGACGAGAACAGAGCATGGCATTTGCAAGGGGGTCGACCCAAACAGGAACTACGGATTTCAGTGGGGAGGTAAGTAAATATAAAACAATGTTCCACATCAATCAGAAAAGCGACGAAGCCCTTTCCACATCCAACAGAAATTCCTGCTGAAAGAAGAGCTGGTTGTACAAGTCATGAGCATGTATTTGTGAATCACTATCCAATAATGACACCAGGTGTTCGCGAAAAGTCAGCGTACTCTGCACCATCGGTGGCAGCATTCATAAATATACCTAGTCAATTGTTGACCTGAAAAAATCAGGAACTTATCATGGTACAAGTCAAAATAGAGAATTGCTTCGGACATCATTTTGTCACTGATGCATCAAATCTGGATATGTCTGCCATAATACGTTTTGAAAGCTTTACTGAGGCTTCGAATGGTGTAGCTTGATCGAACAACATCTGAACAGGAGTAGTATTACCCTCTTTGAAATCTTGATAAAAAGAGCATGCGCGATTGTACCTCAGAAGGTGTGAAATGTCAACATCAAAGTCTGGAGCTGTTGGAATAATGCTGGACATGAAAAGAAATCATCCCTTTTGTCATACAGCCGAGTGGAGTTTTTTCTTGTTGTTGTTGTTGTTGTTGTTGTTGTTTTGTTTTGTTTTGTTTTGTTTTGTTTTGTTTGTTTGTCACTCTGAATCTTCGATAGTTATGCATAGATCTAAATATGAAACAGTTGAGGCGATCTCACTAAACGGAGCCGTAAAACAAGAAATACAATTGGTCTGGCCTTATCTATTCATGTAATAATATCCTGTTGTTTCATACATAAAACATTTAATTTAACAACGGAATGGCTTTTTTACCAAAAATTGTAAATAAATAATTTTTATCATTATTGTCTCCTTAATTTCAAGTTCAAGTGGGTAAATCAGTGGAAGGCAATTGGCGATTTGATGGCTATTGAACGGTATTAAATCATTGATGTATTGGAAGCTTGAGTTAAACTTCTTGGTCAAATTACCTTGTTTTGCTTTTGCCAACCTAAGCAGAATTCTGATTCATGTACATAAAGAAACAGATCCGCAGAGAGAGAGCACAATTGGTGCCCGTAGGGATGCCTACTTCTTGGCGAAATGTTTTACCCCAAAATTTCACAAAGATGTTATCAATGAGAATGTCCAGCATTTCACATATTGTTTTCTCGGTAAACTTCAAATGACATTTGCTTTCACTTTTAACAAATTGTCCTGAACCTCTGAAGATAGATATGTAGGTATATCTTTGTTCACCAATATTGTTTACAAAAGCCCCATGAATCAAGGAATGAAGTTTTTCTTTATGTTTGTTATGTGGGATAGTGGTATACAATGAGCAAAATCAAATCTTTTGACAGAACGGAAATCGGTCCGTTTCTGAGATAGATATGTAGGTATATCTTTGTTCACCACGTTTGTTTACGGAACTCGGCAGTTCTCCTGCCAAACAATGGCGACCTGAAAACAAACCAGACAATCAAGTGATCAATAAATCAGAGATTCCAATTGTTAATTTTACAGTACGACTAGTGATTTGAAGTTCAACCCACTCCGTTGCAGAATCTAGCGGGTCCAGCGGGGACCCATGTTCCGACACGTACCGAGGGCCAAGTGCGTTCTCTGAACCCGTCATTAAAGGCGTCACCGATTACATCAAGGACAGCGGGGTGACGTTCAAGGGATTCATCGACTTCCACAGTTATTCTGAAGTTTGGATGACGCCATGGGGATACACCACCGACACCCCAACGACTTCACCGACCAGGTACACGTGGATACACTTGGTTATATGTTTCAAGTTACTGATTCACGCTGGAGGTCGAATATGATAATGCTAAAATTCAAGATCTGTTTTACACTCAGCAAAGGAAAAGTTATCATTGTGGGGCCACTATTGTATAGGGAAGGTTGTAAAGCTGATTTTCACGATCTAACGAGCCCTTGTGGAGCCAATATTGTATAATCAAGGGTTCTGTTAATGCTGATTTTCGAGATCTATTATGGAGAAAGTATTGTATAGGGAAGGGTACTACTGATGCTGATTTTCACAATCTTACGATCCCTTGTCGAGCCAGTATTGTATTGGGAAGGGGAATTGTATTCCTGATTTTCACGATCCATTATGGAGCCAGTATTGTATAGGGAAGGGGAATAGTATTCCTGATTTTCACGATCCATTGATAGTAATGCCGATTGTCACGATCCATTATGGAGCCAGTATTGTATAGGACAGGGCATTAGTAATGGTTATTTTCACGATCCCTAGAAACTCTAAACGAATTTACACAACTGTCCAGAACTGCATTGTAAAGCCCTTTTGCTTTTCACAAGCAAGCTGCGGATATCGTGCATGGCACCATAGACAAACCGCTTATAGCTGGCGACATACATACACATCGCATGTCCAGTACGTGAATACACAACAGCAAATTGGAAAGTGTATGTTCTTTGACCCGGCTACTTGCAGGATGCCTGTTCAGCTGCTGCCACGGCTGCCCTCAAAGCAGTGCATGGAACAACCTATGAACATGGAACCATTTCCAATGTCTTGTGTAAGTAGACATTTGTTTATATTGTATCACGCCCTACTCAGACATATCCCAGTACAGGCAATCAACCAAATTACCAAGGTTGAAGGACGGTGAGGTAGCTTAGAGGGTAAAGCGTTTGCTCGTCACGCCGAAGACCCGGGTTCGATTCCCCAGGTGGGTTCAATATGTGAAGCCCATTTCCGGTGTCACCCGCCGTGATATTGCTGAAATAATGCTAAAATGCAGCGTAAGACCATAGGCCTACTCACTCACTAGTCGCAATCATAGTTTTCCCTGGACGAAAAGGCTTTCATGGTTCATGAATGTCAGTTCTGTACGTAATCGCCAAGCGTTGGATGACTTCTTTCCAAAGATTACTTAACAGGTCGACTGTTGATCGTGATGGTCGAATTGGTTTGGACTGCTTTAATTAAATATCTTTTGGATCAGTGTGGAATATATTGTGTGTTGTCTGTAACAATTGTGTTACTTTTTATTCTTGAAAATATATTTGTAAGCATGTAAGAGGGTTAGCCAAGATCCAAACTGTATTCGTGCACTGTTTTATCATGCACACAGTATACAGACAGACATCCATCATGATAAGACTGATAAAAATAGCTGGTGTTGCAACATCCACTGTCTGTTGCAGACATCGCCAACGGCAACTCTGTAGACTGGGCGTATGGCAGTATGGGGATTAAGTACGCAGCCACCCCCGAGCTGAGGGACAAGGGCCAGTTTGGTTTCCTCCTCCCAGCTGACCAGATCCTCCCGTGTGGGGAGGAGACGTTGGAAGGGTTTCTGGCCTATGCCAAATATGTGCTTGACAACTGATGTAAAGTGAAAAACAACGAAATGTTTAGTATTTGCATCATTACTATTTGCGAAATTCGTCGTCTAAAATTAGAAGATTTCTGAAGCTGTATACATTGTGGTTGCCATTATATAAGATTTGTTACAACAGCCATATGGCCATCACAGTTGGTATAATGAAAATAAATATTTGATATTTTATACTTGCCTTACCAATTGCTCTGCGTTGTTCTTTCAACGATCTGACTACAGGGAGTGAGTGAGTATGGTTTTACGCCGCTCTTAGCAATATTCCAGCAACATCACGGCGGAGAACATCAGTAATGGGCTTGACACTCTGTACCCAGGTAGGAAATCGAACCCGGGCCTTCGGTTTGACGAGCGAACGCTTTAACCACTAGGCTACCCCACCGCCCCCTATCTGATTACAAAGCTTATTATACTGTGTACAGTGTGCCTCACGCAGCATTCAAGCACCACAGCAGAAAGTAGATATTGAAATTATGTGTCATTTAATGCTGACAAAAACATTAAAGAGGGGAGCTCATGAACATACATACGGTTCATTACCACCAGGCTGGCTCCGGGAAAGGACTTGGGATCGGGGTCTACTCCCATTTGTGAGAACTCTCAATTGTGAGACTCCCAGTTGTGAGACAGTGGAGTAGGTAATTAACAAAGAAAACACACCATATTCCCCTATCTGATAGAATGGATTAACCCTAGCTAATTAGGGATTAGCTATGTAACTGAACCTTGTGAACGGAACAGAAGTGGTGAATAATCACATTTCATTAGATAAACATTATTTTCAATATTAGGATGTTTACAGAAATATTGGGGAAGAAATTGATGTCTAAGGACATGGAGGTGGAGGATTGGGGCAATCGTTTCGCTCTGGCAGAATTTACCAGTGCTCGTGAATGTTGACGCTAGTGGTAAAGGAACTAGACCTGCATTACTTCGGGCTTTCCTCCAACATTAAGCAGACACGCCCTGATATAACTGGAATACCGTTCAAAGCAGCATTAATAACTACAACGCATCATCTACGTGGATGTTAGAAATATTTCAGACAGAAGCACTAATGTGCTTCTATAGTAATATAATAATGGCACTAAGGGTAGGCATACGTCCTTACAAGTGCAATGACACACACGCACGTGCGTGCACGTCAGAATGTAAATGCAGTCTTAAACGCGACATTAATCCCCATTCGGGTCACCAAATATTTTTTTATTCATAATCTATTTATATACAGCTAGGCTGGAACACAGGCGCTTTGTTTTCTCGATCACTGGATGTCAATATCAACGGCACATCGTATTATCAATCTCAACCCCCTGGGGATCATACAACTCTTGCAGCCATTTAGGCCCACCAACGTTTGAATAATGCAATACAGAATGCACGGTATTGTGCTACAGATGAAAGAAAACAAGCAGTTGCCTCGGTATAACAAACATTTACTATGACATGTTAATGCTACTCATATAAGCCAGCACGCCCGCCAGCGTTTCCTCTCCTGAAGGGACTATTTGGTCTGGCGGAAGCAGAAATCCATATTTTCCCGTGTCACGCAGTTCAACACCGACAGAGTACTTGATATCAGCCACACCGTATGTCCAGTCCGCACTACTTCCGGAAGCCACATCTAGCAAAACAACACGTGATCATTTCAACAAGTTCGTTTATACGGACAAAATGTGAGAAAATGCAAGTGTCCGCTTAAGTGAGGTTCGACTACATAATTTTAAGATTATATTGTTAACATCTCAAAGCATTGAAAAGTCCCCTGATAGGAGCTATAGCTTGTCAATGAATCTGAATCTCTTTCAAACGTATCAGTAACACACCAAGCAGATAAACCTAATGTATGATCTATAAATCAAATTCACCCTAACATATTTAAGAATCCTTATCAATATATTTTAAATAAGCATCCACTTCCGCTCATACGTCAACAGATCGTAATATACGTACATATTATGTTGGCAATGGAACCGTACTTGTACTTGGTTCCATGGACCGCCTCAATGGCACCCACTGCTGCAGCTGAAGTCACGTTCTGAAGTGAAAATAGACCAAACTCGGGTTTACTATCATCTCATTTTTTTCATTACGTAATGTTCCTTATGATTGATGACTTGGGGCGTAGTGGGCGAACTGGCGCCAGGCTAGTGATCCAGCGAGGTTGAGGTGTCGGGATCGAGCCCACCTGTGACCGGGTGTAAAAACCTTGGAGTCAACTTTGTGTGCAGACTCTTTCAGTGTTGTCACAACCCCTAGTGTACAGCACACAACCCTGTGCACTTAAAAGAACCCACGAATCCGTTGGTATATGACCAGATGGTGGCCACACGAATACGTGCAAACACCTAGTTGCGGGTACAGCAACGTGCAGTGAACTTGGACAAAGTACTGTGACTATGTGCCCCAGTCCATCCAGCTGTGAATGGGTACCTCATTAGGATGGGAAAGCCACAATAACTCGATGCGCTGCCGTTGAGATTGACATCCAATGATCGAGGGAAAAGACAAAGCGCCTTTGAACAGTTGAGCTGGATATCGGCGCTATACAAATGTTAGTATGTATGTACTATGGTAAAATATGTATGCACTATCCACACTGATTAATTTCTGTAACAACCGAACACAAGTTGTGATAAGTACTTTTTTATGAAGTTATTGTTACTATAGGAAAAATTCTTTGTGGAAAACCATATATGAAAAGAAATAATAAAATAGAAGATTTCAATCATAAATGGGGTGATGAATTTAAAATGTACCCAATTTACCTGAGGTCATATTTCTCTTTTATTGACTTATATATGTGTATTAACATGATATTGATACCTGTACATCATCCATCTATCTGTACATCACTGTTCTACATATCATGACGTTGTAATCCTGGGAACCAATAAAAAAAAATAATAATAATAATTTTAAAAAAGTACTTTTTTATGAAGTTATTGTTACTATAATAGACTGTCAGATAATGTATTAACATTATTTGTATGTATGCTACATTTGTATGTCGATGTAGTTTCTTTGATGGTTTGATACGGAGATAATAGTTCCGTCAGTCTGTCTTTTTCACCGTGTTGCAAACATACAAACTGATGCATTATGCATGTAGTGTATTTTCAAAACTATACACCCCAACAAATTCTTCTACAGTAACGTTAACTGTGTTGGGTCTGTTTGAGTGATGTCAATTCTTGAGCCTCCAGACCATTTGACATTTATCCAATCGTTTACCTGAATTTAGATGCGAAACCATGTCACATTGAGGCCCAGGTGAAATTCGTAAAAAACAAAAAGTGCAACGTGTGAAATCATGTGATTGTTCCGCCGTTGTGCTGAGCCTGATACAACCATCAACTGATAACTAAACTAAAATTACGTATGTGTGCGTTTTTGTGTGTGTGCGCTTTTTTTTTTTTTGGTCTTGATCTGATTTTGTTTTGGTTTTGGTTTTTTTTCGGTTGTATTTTTGTTGTTGTGTTTGTTTTGGGTTGTTTTTTATGTTGGTGCATTTTCTTTTTGCATTTTTAACATATTATTTTTTGGTGTGTGTGTGTATATAATTTAAGTATGACTTGTGTCTAACAGTGTATCTACGTGCGCGTGTGCGTGCGTGCGTTCGTTTTGTGTCTGTGTGCCAACTGGTCAGCCAACTGGGGTTTTTTTAACTTTTGAGAAGAAACAATAAGACAGTTGATGCTCCACTCACACTCTCTAAAGGTTCGAATCACATGCAGGACAATTCAGTACAAACGGTGACGCACCTGTGCTGCAGCATCTTTAGGCAAATCAGTGGTGTACCCCCAAGGTGTCATCCACAACTGAGAGAAGCTGTGGAAGTCAATAAAGCCAACGATGTTGATGGTTTCGTTCTGAATGTAGTTGGCGATGCCGCCGACCACCTTCTCAGAGAACGCCGATGGACCACAGTAGGAATCAGAGCAGGGGTCAGTGCTCGCACCTGGCACCTCTGAAAATGTCGAGATGAATGAGTGAATGAGGTTTGGTGTAACACCGTTTTGAACAATATATCAGTTTCATCACTGTATGTCAGATAGGTGGGACTAAAGCTCGAGGTAATTTACCGCCCGTGAAATCCCGCCCCCAAGTGTGTGAGTACGCCCTTTTAGCAACATTCTATATTCCAGCAATATCACGGCGGCGGGCACCAGAAATGGACTTAACACATTGTACCCATGTGGAGAATCGAACCCGGGTCTTCAGCGTCACGAGCGAACACTTTAACTACTAGGCTACCACCCCACGACCAGCCATGGGTATGTTGATGAAATACACATTAAGGAGGGCGTATGTAGGATCGGATCCCATGGTCACATGTGCCAGGAACACTACAGGGATGCAATTCAGCCCAGCAGCGCCTTAGATGACTTGACCTCCGTACTTAAAACATAATTGATAATGGACCATAGTAAATTTCGATTTTGCGGCATTTCAACAGAATAAAAATCAATCTTGATTGGGCAGTCATTGCTATTTGCTTTCAACCGAGTGACAGTAGGTTTAATGGAGATACTAAATTCTATTCTCTACTGTAAACATTTTTCACCACGCACATGTATGGATATTCCATGTAGCGATACACATGAAGCAGCAGACCCGCGAAGGTCCGGGTTAGCATTGGTCTTCAGTAACCAATGCTTGTCTTAAAAGGCGACTAACGCGATTGGGTGCTATACAACATGTATTGTATTAGGTACCAAAATGACGCCATGTTATTGTAAACCTTAAACTTTATATATGCCAACTTAGGTTGACATATGGCACTGTTCACACTCCTACCCAGAGTTCCATGCAGCCAGCCAGCATAGTACCTCTGCCACAGGCCAGAAAGATGTGACGATTCGTCACATCTTGCATCGTCCATTCAATATAATGTACATATTTCTTAACTCTATTTTTGACGAGTCTACACATCTATTTCGATTTGTTTGCATAAGTTGTACGGCTTCACGTGCTGTCATCGAAGCCGACGGAGCGCAAACGATGC